CAGGAACCGCGTTTCTTAACTACATAATTTTCAGGAATTTTTCATTTACGGGACACCTTAACCGAAACCAAACCAACCAAGTTGACTTACGGAACATACCCTAACAATTTGAAAACATAACCTAAAATTTGAAAGAAATGCACTAGATTGTCATAAAAGTTGGCAGATTTTGTTTGAATTTACCTTCAGTACAAAAATGACATAACCAACAATTAATAAAAACGCCAAATTGACGATTTGCATTGTTAATTTTGTCATTTTTGTAATTAAGCTAAATTTAAACAATGTTTGTCAACTTTTTTGAGAGATTTTGGAAACACTGTTGTTACCAACCATAACATAATAAATCCACTAGATTGGCCTAAAGTTCCTAGTCGATCAGTGGCGTACTTTTTGGTAGGATAAAGGTTATTATAAATTATTTTTAGACTTTGGAATTTAGAAAAAAAAAGTTTCAGGTGCTTCTTTATGGACCCTAAGGAACAACCCATTTTAATATATAACATTAATTACATAACACCCTGTATATATTAGAATATCAAAAAAAACAATAATAAACTAAAAAAAATTGACCTTTTTCTATAAACACTTTTTAATATTATCAAAACCCCATTAAAAAGCCTTTTAATAAAAACTATAAAACATCGAAACATTATTGAAGACTATAAATTTTCCACTTTTAATAATTAATATCTCCGAAACTATCAGCCCAAAAGGTATAAATGTGCATATTGCTGAAATCACAATTTCATAATTTATTCAAATAAAAAAAGAGGAGGTAGAATTAAAATAAAAATCATTGAATTTGTTCTATGTTTTTGCCGCTTACAGTAATTTCTGTAATATCTGTTTTATGTGCAATCTAAACTGTAAAAATGTTATAACAATTTATTTATAAAATAAAATAAAATAAATTATTGGCCAAGAGGGAATGGATAAATTTACTAAATATTTATAAGATATGTCTACCGTATGTCCCCGGATTGAGTTTACAAGAGAAAACATGTTTGGCTTTACGAAGAAAAGGCGTTTATCAAAATTCTTTGACAGTTATAATCTTTTTTACTTGTTATAAAACCATTAAACCATAGAGTATTTCATCATCATTTAAAATTTGCACCGTACATATTTACGATTTAAATACTTTAAAGACTATTAAACATAACCTAGAAACCATGCTAGAAACAGATGTTGGATTCGTTTGTAATTCTTGACACATCTGTTATAACATCGTAACGACACGATCCCTCTTCAAGGTCATCGAAGAGTTTTAAATGTTGCGATGTAGCGTTCTCAAAAATTAAAGACAAGAATAATATGGCCGCTTTAACATTTATTAAAAAAAAATTGATTTCAAATTTTATTGGTTTAAAATTTGCCTAACTAAAAATTTAAGGTTTACATTCACAAATTTAAAATATTTTTAACTAAAAGAAAAAATTTACTTTTAGTTCACTTCTTTATTATATAATATTATTTATAATCAATTTTTGCAAAAATTTCTAACCATCATATTTTAATAAAAATAATTTCCAAAGGATAATTTATTTGGGCAGAATTTTGTAAATCCTAAATAAATATTTAATGAAATTATTTAGATTAAATTGGTAAAGTTAATTTTTTAGTATTTAAAAATAGTGTCGACACATTTAAAATAAAAACACATATAAAATATTTTCTACCAAAATAGTTAAAAAAGTTAAAAAATTTAAACTCAAAACAATTGATTATAATCAAAAAATATTTTAAATATGAAATGCAAATGTAAAAGTTCAAATTTAAAATATTGGTTTTTAAAAATTGTATTTTATTGTACAAAAGTATTGGTTTAAATTTGTAAACAGTCATTTAAATGATAGTCGATACATTTTTAATACAAAAATTCTCGCATTACATTTAAATATTAGTTTTAAATTTTAAAGTGGTAATCTTTGGAATAAAACTTACATTTAAATCTAATGTGAGAATTTTTGTATTAATCTAAATGACTCTTTACAAATTTAAACCGATAATTTTGTAGAATAAAATATTTGTACAAAAATGTTTAAAAATGAATATTTTTAAGCGCAAAGTTTAACAGTTGTATATTATATTTAAAATATTTTTGACTATCAATTGTTTTGAGTTTAAAAAAATTTAACTTTGTAAACTTCTGTTCAAACTATTATCTAATAAATGCCTAAACGGCTTGCCATAGAATGATAATTCATTCGTTCATAAACGAACAAATGTGCACATTAGTTAATAACATAAATTCCGGCGCTGAAATTGCGTTACCAAAACCGCGTTGTTACCCAAAAAGTTAAAACCGAAAAACCAATTATTCGTTATACTACGAGTGTGACATTTATTTTGCATATTTTAATAAAGATTTTACCTCAGACACGTGGATGATCCAAACTAATTCATTTAAATTTTAAATCTGCTTTTAATTGTTAATTTTAGTGAAGTGAAGTTCTAAAAACAACCCGTAACAATAGACACAAGTTTAACTATCCTGAAAAACAAAGTGGTTAAAAAAAACTTTGTTTTTGTTACATCGGACCGTTTAATCACCCCCGTGTTTTGTATTTACTTTAATTAAAAGTTGAAATCTCTTTGTTTTATTATTTAACGGCAAGGAAATTTTGTTGGAATGTTTAATACATTTTACTCTCGAGTGGTGTGGATATTTTTATAGCGAAAATAAAATTAATTTTTCCTGCATGGATATTTTAATTAAGGTTGACCTTTCAAATTTAAATATTAAGATTTGTCTTTGTTTCTTTTTATAATAAATTATAATCTTACGGAGGGTGAAGTATTTTACATCAATTATGAAAACCTTGTTTTTAAATAAGATGACAGAAACCCAACATTTAAACTTATTTTTCTACTCCCACCTTTAACCATTATCGTACTGTACGATTCGTACATGTTTTCATGACATTAAGTGACCTTTTAAATACACATTGACAAGCTGTGGCTTTACGGCGCTTTTAGTTACGGGCTGAAGTTAGCAACAGGTTTTTAGTCACGGTCTGAAGTTAGTTTTAAGTTAGTTGAAAGTTGTCAAATGTCATACAATCGTTAAAATAAAGTGCCTTTCTTGTAAAATAATACAAAATGTGAAAATTATTTTATTATCTCAATGCAAAAATACATAGACATTCTCTTCTCTTTTACTGTGAAAAATTGCTTCTATATCGATTGTTAGTCTATTTTCAAGGGAAACACTTTAATTTACACAGAAAAATTTGAGATTTTAACGCCGGTATACCGAGAATTTTTAACTTGGGAATCTATAGATTCCCAAGTTAAAAATTCTAACGGGAATTTCATACACAACTGTCACTATTTTAAAGTTATTTTAATATTTTAAAGTATCAATAGGTAATTGTTAAGTTTAATTAAAACAAGAACGGGCATTATTAATGATGAAAATTACGTCAAAATTGTTTATTTTAATGGTTACTTTATTTTCGCATAGATGTCGCTTTATACAAATATTTAATTTAAATAAATTTTTACATAATATTAAGTATTAAATACACATAAATTTTGTCGTAAAAAAAGTATGGTATGCAACTCTTTATAAATTTTTCTAGGCACTCATTTAATTAAGCACTCGCTCGCAAGCTCCCTCGTGCCTAAATGAAATTCGAGACTAAAATGGCGTTTATCAAACTTGATACATAATGTACTATAAATGTTTACTCATTTTTAAAGTTATATGAAAATTCCTTATGGGTTTTCTCAGCGATAATATTTCCCATTAATAGTATATTCTGTTACAAGTTCTGAATATTGCATATTCCGCTCGAGTGAAAAGTTTGTCACGCGAGCCGAAGGCGAGTTTGACGGTTTCAGGAGAGCGGAATATGCAATTCCAAACGTGTTTTAGACTATTTTTTTTACGTTTCCAAAAAATACTATAGAAAAATAATTTAATTGGGACAAAGTTAGGTTGGATCGGTCTAAAATTTGTTACATATTCAACACAGAGATGTGGTCATCAGTGTTTATTTCGGCATCCGATGATAGAATAATTAATTCTGTAATACTTTAAGGAATATATGTCATTCCACATTAAAAAGTGATATTATAACGCTCATATTCCTTAATAGGAGTAATAAAAATACAATACAAGGAGCAATAGAAAAAATCCTTCCTTACTCTGACCGCACAAAATTTTTTATTGGAGTCATATCTTAAAAACATAAAAATATCAATGGGAAAAATTATATTAACCACTTTTTTTGAAACAATTTTTTATCCTCCACAATAACCAGACTAAAAATAGGATATGGAAATCCTGCTTATTTATATCGCATTGGTTTAATTGAATCCCCTATTTTATCCTTTAATAAGTCTTTCTTTGCCGATTTAAACCATATTTTTTCTCACTGTTTACACAACGTTAACCACACAATAAAACTATTCCAATCCTTAAAAAAACTAAATATAAATCATCCCATTAATATCAACTATTTGTTAAGTTTAAATAATACAAAAAATTTCCTCATTTATCCAAGAGGCTGAATTAAATATTAATTTTTTTTTTAACTTCCACATATGCATATATACGAGTATGTATCCTTTTTTTTACTATTCTTTTCTCTATTTCCTTAACTGTTTGATTCTTTTCTTTCCTATTAACTATCATTGGTCGTCAGGGTCATAGCTATCCTATTGTCTTTCCTAATGTTGCCTCAATTTATCCGTTGCCTATTTGTATAATTTCTGTTTTAAAAGTCGCCTAGATTAGGTTATTATTAAAAAACAAATTAAATAAAATACACTTATAATACGAAAAAAAGTTAAACGTTGATAATAATTTTTAATATTCAATATATATACATTTTTTTCTAATTAATAAAATTATAGTATAAAATTTAAAAATATCTGTGGCTAAGAAAAATGCTTATTGCATATCATGGAAAACAATACAAATTTATTAAAAATATATATTTTTCTGGTTTTGTTTTGGATGTAAAACCTAAAAAAGTCTTCTTCCTTAGGTGATCACCCCGTTTAGATCGCTGGTGCTGTGCTGCGAGTCCCGTCGCGAGATGGAAGAGTGGCTGGGCGCCCTCACTGCCGCCTCCCAGCGCCGCTACCACGATTCCGATCAGCCGGACTGCCTGTCCGGCCAGCACCACTGGTACGCCACCTCGCACGCCCGCCCCACCTACTGCAACGTGTGCCGCGACGCGCTGTCCGGCGTCACGAGTCACGGGCTCTCGTGCGAGGTGTGCAAGGCCAAGGTGCACAAAAGGTGCGCCGCCAAGGCCATCAACAACTGCAAGTGGACCACGCTGGCATCGGTGGGAAAGGATATCGTCGAAGATTCCGATGGAGTAAGTCGGTGCGATTGGTATTTATAGCGTGTTGTGTGGAAAGACATGGGTGAGATGTAATAAAAAACAGTAAAAAGAGGTGAAATGTTAAAAATGACAAATGTTATTTTTGACATATGTCATCTGCCATTTTCTGACAAACTTAATAAAAGTACTCAAAACTAATTAGTTACTGATTTTTTCGTTTACATTAAAATCATTAATTTTTTGGAGATTATTTTAAAATATTAGTATATATATATAGTATTTGAAAAGTATTTAAAATAATAAAAATTGGAAAAAAGTATTGTTTTTTATGAAACTCCTAATAAAAGTTTTTTAATTTGTTTTGTAAAATAAAACTTGTCTTTGATTTCTGGCACGTTGCTTGGCATTGTTCAAGGCCATGTCAAAGGACCTCTGAAACTCTAAAAATACGTGTTATAATATTATAAAATAGAATTACGATAAGGCTATCAATAATTATGTTTTATTAAACATTAAGAACTTATTATACAATTGTTTGTGATTGGTAACTTTATATGTTATGAAGAACTAAAATAAAAAAAGAAATTAATATTAAAATTCAATGCAAAAATTAAAATTACCTTGCTCACTTCAGGTACTATAGATATTTAAACCCAATACCTAAATCCTCTTTTTTTCTCTTTTTTTCTCTGTATACATATAGGTAGAAAATTTATTTTTAAATTGTCCTGCTTGTAGTAAAAGCCTTGTACGCATAACACTATTTACCTAGGAAAAGGCAGTTCTTTTTCTTCACTGTAACTTCATGAAACGAGATGAAAATCTGTAACTAATTAGTAATTAGACAGTACAAATCCCGACAGGTAATTCGCAGATTTCCGATCGTTTTTTTTTTCAGATATTCTAAAGTAATAAATTTTGGATTTTTACATTTTATGGGTTCCTCTACATGACCGTTTTTTGTGACATCAGAATGTTACCTGGGAACAAATTTTAAATTTTTATTTGTTATCTGCATTTTAAAAGCAGAACAATTATATTAAAATTGATGATCGTTTTCGACATTAATAAATTGCGAAATATCAGAAAAAGTAATTAATGATTTGCCAACCTTTCAAAATAATAATTTTATGATTAATGAATGTATTGGAAAAGCTTTTATATTATCCGGATACATTGTAACCTAAAAGGATTGCTTACATTATAGCTCCTTACAGATATACAGAGACCAGCAAAAGTATGAAACCAATTCATTAAATAATGTGCATTTTGATTTTGATATAAAATTTTCATATTTGCCGCCATTTTTGTAGAAGCTATGACGAAATTCTGAATTTAGCAATATGCACATTAGGGTGCTTCAAAAAATATTTTTTTTTCGCTCTTACCCCCTCAAATGTTTCTATTTTATATACAAAAATAAGAGAGCTTTTTTGTAGAGCGTTACATTTTATATAAGAAACTGCAATGATCATTGCCATAAGTTACATTGATACAGAGGTATAAAATTCCAAACCTACAATTATTTTTTCCCATGTTAATTAAATGGGAAACTAAAATAAAAACAGCGACCTCTTAGAGTTGAGCTGGAACGCCTATATTTGGTGAGGATTTTTTTTATTTTAATTAAAAACATTTGAGAGGGTAAGAGCGAAAAAAAAATTAAATTTTATTTTTTGAAGCACCCTAATGCTCATGTATACCTTTTGGGATTGTTTTGGGTAGTATTAAATTTAAAAGTTCGTAATTTAACAATTTTTATTCGCAAAAAAATATGTTGTATCTTTTAATGGATACATTAACCAATTAAATGTTCGAATTGCTCCCCGTTAGTTTCTTGACAGTAAGCAAGCCTATCCGAAAATTCTCTGAGAACGTTTAGGATGACTTCCGCACTAATATATTCTTCACGAATTTGATTTTTCAAGTCTTCTAAATTTTGTGGTCGGTTGATGTAGACCTTTGATTTAAGGTAGCCCCATAAGAAATAATCGAGAAGGGTGAGATCTGGAGATCTCGCTGGCCACTCTATCGGTCCTCGTCTAGTTATTACCTAACTACTACTACCTAACACAATATTCATTGTGTTTCCCGAAACCAAAATTTATTCTACTACTAAACTAAACTATTACTACTACTAGATTCTATTCTGTAGATTCTACAGGTAATACGCAAAGTTTGACCAAAGGACGTTTCATTGTACCTTGAGTCGTGCGAATTGTGGCTACTCTCGTAATCCCGTCAGTGCCCTTATGCAACCCAACAACCCTACCAAGAACCCATTTAGTAGGAGGCAAGTTTTCTTGTTTAACAACCACTAAAGAACCCTCCTTTAGAAGTTCATCGGAATAATGCCATTTATGACGCTGTTGAAGAGTCTGAAGATACTCACTATTCCAACGCCGCCATATATTTTGATGGAACTGTTGGAGAAGTTGCCACCGAGAAAGACGATTTACGGGAAAATTAGTCAAATCTTCGTCAGGAGAGGCAGAAACAGGCTCCATATTCAAAAAATGGTTTGGAGTGAGGGCAGAAAAGTCATTAGGATCCGCGCTGAACGCCGTCAAGGGGCGCGAGTTCAGGACCGCTTCTATCTGGGTAAGAAGAGTAGACATCTCCTCAAATGTGAGGATCTGCTCGCCGATAACCCGAATTAAATGAGTTTTCACGGACTTAATGCCCGCTTCCCAAAGACCTCCCATGTGGGGTGCAGCAGGGGGATTGAAATGCCACTTAATTGCAAGGGAATCACAAGTATCCTTTAACAACGCAAACAAATTATCTGCTCCTACAAAATTGGTGCCACAATCACTGTGTATGTCTGATACTCGTCCTCTGCGAGCTACAAACCTACGAAATGCTGCAACAAATGCCTCCGTACTGAGGCTTGAAACAAGTTCAATGTGTACTGCCTTCGTGGCAAAGCACACAAATACACAAATATACGATTTAAGAGATTTAGCTCCTCGGTAACGCCCCATAGTAAAAGAAAAACATGTGTACAAAAAAGTTGAAAGCAAATGGTACACTGTTCAAAATTTCATGACCAAATTAACACCATACATGGTCTATATCGATACAAACCAAAATGGTGATAAATATGGTTCCTTGGTCCGGTGTAAATTCAAATACTAAAATAGTGTAAATTTAACTTTCACACAGTATCAAAATAAATTTTATCTGGTTTAAATTGAACTCCTTTTCAATGTTAAATATTATGTATTTTTGGTCAAATTAAATCATACTATTTGTAAAGTGTACTTCTCAGTAGTTCGAAAAGATAAAATATTTTTATATAAACACAGTTCTGGTGTTTGCTGTATATAACATTTTCAACCATAATTCATGGTGTTTATATTAACACCACTTGGTGTTGGTATTGGATTTAGACACCATTTTTATATTACCCTTTACACCACAGATATTTTTAACAGTGTAGGTATCACTTGATAGATCGGGACCTCTATCGGTCCTCGTCTGTTAATTCACCCCTCAGGAAAACATGTGTACAAAAAAGTTGAAAGCAAATGGTACCTATTACTTGGTAGATCGGGACCTCCATTTTCGTTGGAAAACATTTCTGCTAATGTGGCAAAAATTTAAAATACGTTTGTCCTGTCATATTCTCATCAAAAAAGAAAGATTTTACACCATTCCTGCCCAGATATTCACTTTTTGCCGGTATTGGGAATTTGCCTCTACTACCCAATGGGGATTTTCTCTGCTCCAGTACCTACAATTTTGACGGTTGACTGTACAATTTAAACAGAATGTAGCTTCGTCAGAAAAAAGTATTTTACAAGGAAAGTGTGGATTATTGTTACAAAAATTCATCATAGTTTCACAAAATTGTAGTCTATCGTACGGATCATCTTCGTTAAGTTCCTGCACTAGTGGAAGGTACTTTTAATTCTTCGTAAAACGTAATACTGAGGTTGGCTGACTTGACTTTCAACTTCGACTTCCACAGGTAACAAAATGTCAATTTTAGTGTCTTCACTAATACTCGGACGGTCAGGTTTTGGAATATCTTTGACATGTCCAGTCTCTGAATTTCCATTCAACTTTACTAACCGTAGCACGAGCAGGATACTTTGCATTAAATAAATTGCAAACTTCTTGTTGTGTTCTAGTTTTATTGCCATAGCCTATGAGAATGAAAACTTTAATTCTTTTAAATTTTATCAAAACCCCATTAAAAAGTATTTTAGTTAAAACTATAAAACATCAAAAGATTATTAAATACTAATACGAATTTGTTTCATACATTTCCGGATGTTGTTTAATAATGTTTATTTTTAGAATATCGTGATGCCACATCAATGGATGGAGGGTAATTTGCCAGTGTCTGCAAAGTGCGCATTTTGTGATAAAACCTGCGGTTCAGTACTTAGGTATGATTAGTATTAGTATATACAAGTAACATTGACTTATTTTAAAAAACTATAAATTCTGAAGGTTGCAAGATTGGAGATGCCTGTGGTGCAGAGCTACAGTCCATACGCAATGTCGACATAATTTACCAACCAACTGCCCCCTGGGCCCTGCTAGGGTCAGCGTGGTGCCCCCTACATCCTTGCACTCCGTACAGGACGAAGCGTGGGAGGCTGTGAGGCCGCAAGCTTCATCTCCTCTTTTGGTCTTCGTCAACTCCAAATCAGGTAATGAAAGGTTCCAACTCGAGAGTGTTCAGGATTAATTTTCGTTTGGTTTAGGTGACAACCAGGGCGTTAAATTCCTTAGACGCTTCAAGCAACTACTTAATCCCGCACAAGTATTTGATCTCATTTCAACCGGCCCACGTTTGGGCCTAAGACTGTTTCGACATTTCGACCCATTCCGTATTTTAGTTTGTAGTGGGGACGGCTCCGTCGGCTGGGTCCTGTCCGAAATAGATAAGTTAGATATGCATGTAAGTAATAAACACCTTTTATATGTACAAGGGGATGTAAGATAAATTATTTTTTACTGTTTAAAAAAAATTTGGGTATTTTTTGTTTAAAGACCTACAAGGTTGGTTAAATGATATAAAACTTAAGTAATTACAGTTCATTGGACTTGTGTTTTTTTATAAAGTTGGTAGCTTATGCCAGTTTGATTAGTATTTTTAGTATTTATAAAATGGTGCTTCTGCTGAAGACTTTAATTAAATACTCTGACACTGTCCAATTAAGAGTAATATTTATTATTGATAATTTACTTGTTAATTATTATATAACATCGATATAAAAGATAACTATGCCAAAAATAATATCAGATTCTAAAGTAAGAACTTTTAAGTGCAAAACTTCATTTCTATGAAGTTAACCCAAATGCCTCAATGGCAGAAAAAGTACATCGCCGTATGGAGTAAAAAATTAACGTTTTTGGTTTTACAAATACTAAATCACACATTATTTTCAGCTAAGCAGATCAAAATTTTTTGAAATTTTAAAAAATAAGGGAAATAAAAAACAAAAAATAAAAATTATTTGCTGTTAGGTTTACCCTTTTTTTGAAAAATCTAGTACTTAATTTTCCTGTCTTTGAAAATAGCATCCATTTGGTTTGAAAAAGATAAGCAATAATCACGCAACTTTTTCTTCTTTTAATTTGCAAGTTACTGATCATTAATAGTCCTGGACAATATATACATTATAATTATTATTAAGCCACTACAAGTATTAACGTCCAGTGGCTTTAACAAAATACCTATTCACCATTGAAGTCCAATGATTGGACAACATTCACGTGTGTTCACATACAATTTTAATTTTTTTTATATAAATTCTTTTCAAATCGAAGATTATTATCCTCTAGGAATACTTTGTCTCTCCTGGACCGGAGTCACCTATATTTAACTACTTTTTTATATTATTTTACTCATCTACGCACCACCAAAGCCAAATTAATTGCATTTTTAACTACAAATTTTGTCAACTTAACTTGACAATCGTTCAATGTAACCTAAAATAATTTAAACATAACCACAATTACATTATAATTACATTTATATTTATAACTATAGTTTAGTTTGTTTTAATCAATGCAACCAATTTTGGTTCGGTATTTACCAACCAAACCCCTAAATTTGCAACGTTGCCGTAGTCCCAATAAAAAAATGAACTTTACCTGTTAAAATAAAAAAATATATTTGAAAAAACAGCAACGGTTCTCAAAATATTTAAAAAAAAAAACTAAAAAACCTATATGGCGGCCATGGGAAAAACAAAAGATGGTGGTGGTAACTCATAATCTACTAGGCGAAAAAAATCACAAATTTGATTAAAATGTTAATAAACGTGATGGTATTTTAATACTTATGCTTCTAATAACGCAACTTAACCGTCTTTGTGGCTCTTTTAATTAAATATATACCCATACATACAAGGATACTTGGTACACCCTGTATATTAAACTCCAATATATTTTAAATGAATGCTTTATCAAAAAAAAATACTTTTTAGTAGAGCGTAAAATTTTACACAAAAATTTGTCTCGTGTATTGTAAAAAGGACAAATTATGAAATAGATAAATAAATATACAGGGTGTCCCACAATTAGTGCGACAAAATGAAGGTGTATTATCTAAAGACCCCCAGGAATTCCAGAAAATTGTTTAAAAAATTCTTTCTTCAATATTTAATAAGATACAGGGGAGTCATATTTTCTTTATATGGCAACATTGCCTCATAACAAAGTAATAGTTTAATTCTTAATCATCATGGCAACAAACAACAATGTTAGAAAATGTCAAATTTAAATGTCAACATTTGTTACTTTAAGTTATAGGTTATTTATTTTACGTCAGACAGGGACTTTTCTATCCAGTATGTAGATACTTATTTCAAATATTGACCTCCGATATACATGGTTTTCCACATTCGTGGTCCATTAGAAGTTTCAGGGGAACGAAAAAAATATTGATTTAAAATTTTAAAAGCGTTAATAATCAATTTAAGTCAATTTTTTTATAATATTTTGAAAAAAATGCCCATTCAGGTTAAACCGAAAATTCTGAGTAAAATTAGTATACCATGTGGTAAATTATTATAGTTTTCGAGTTATTAATTTTTTTCTTTAAAATCTGTTATGCATAAATAAAGTGATTATTGGACATTAACTTACATTTTTTCATTAATTGTAGTATCACGAATATACCTACCCCATGTCACGAAGTTAGATACCTACCCTTATCACGAAATTACCTTTCTTTCAAAGTCTTTTTTTGCTAGGTTTCTAAGTTAAAAAAAATAACCTAAATCTAAAGCCAAACATTAAGGGGTTAGTACTCTGACAATTACAACATAAATGCATGCCATTTATGTATATTACTTTGTGCCGAAAAAACTAAAATCATATACCAAAAATTGCGTTTAGGTAGCGTTTTTTTATTTTCATTTTATCCTTTCTCTTGCAAGCATTCATCCACTGTTCTGATCAGATCTTTATTTTTTGGAAATCAAAAATATTTAATGTTAGGTTAGGTTGGCTGTTGGAGTTTTTGTTTATATTTCTGCTGTCTGCTACAGCACAGCCCGGTATATTTTAAATAGTTATTAAGTCCAACAAATACAAACTTAATAAATAACATGGTAATAACCTTGTAAACAGTTATTGCTGTTCAATAAATGCAGTAAAAACTTTCCCTGCTTAAAATACCCCATAGAGACCTATACAAAATATTTTATAGGGCGCTACCGGTTTCAATATGTGCATTTGTCCAAGGTTTTTTCCGGATACAGCCCGATAGAAAATGTATAGGAAATTACCTATAGGCACACCATAACTTTTACATTTTCCCTATTGAGACCGATAGAAAATAACTCAATGAAGGATATATAGGGATATCCCTATAGAACAACCATAAAACATTTGACAAAATTTTATTAAAACCTATGGGGTCCTATAGGGAAAAAACTAATTTCTACATTTATGTGTATTTTCCCCATTGAAACCGATAGCAAATAAATCAATGGTGGATATCCCTATAGAACAACCATAAATCTCAACTATGGGTCCTATACAAACCGATACACCCTATAGAAACACCATACATCCCGATACAAATATCTATCGGTTTGAACAGGGTCTCTATGGGGTATTTTAAGCAGGGTTACGAAAAACCATCGTGCGTGACACTGCTTTGAAAAACATAATAATTTTGGAAAAAACTCAAAAGAAATAGTAGTAAAACACCCGTGCATAGCGTATGCCTATGCATTGCATAGTATGCAAAACTGTTTGTAACATTTGAGTTTTCGAATTTTTTTTTTGTGTTGGTATTGCAGAAGCAGTGCCAAGTAGCAGTATTACCCTTGGGTACCGGAAACGACTTAGCCAGAGTGTTGGGATGGGGTTCTTCGTGCGACGACGACACCCATCTGCCCCAGCTGCTGGAAAAGTACGAAAAAGCCGGCAGAAAAATGCTGGACCGCTGGAGCGTAATGGCGTTCGAGCGTACGATAGCCATGCCGAAGTTGTCGCTCACCCCTGGAATGTACGACGGTCAATTACACACGCAGATAACTCAGTACGAAGACTCCCTAGTGATGCATTTGCAGAACATCCTGCAGAGCGATGAAACCTCGGTGATCATCAACTCGGCCAAAAGGCTGATGGAGACGGTCAAAGATGTTGTGGCCCAATTAGCCGACAGTTCTCTGACGAAAGGCGACGAACAATTGGCGAGAAAGTGCGATATTTTGCAACAAAAACTAGAATTACTCCTACAGACTTTAACCAGCGAACAGATCGACGCTACAGTTGTGAACGTAGACGAAGCGGATAGTTCGATAAAATCGACGAGGCCAGACGATACCGACAGCGAAATGTCGTTCGATAAAGGAAAAACGGAAAAATGCGAGAAAGACTTAAACAACTTCAACTTCAGAAGGCACCGGCGCACTTCACGCTTCATGGAGCGCGAGAAAGACGCCTTGCTCAACAGGGCGAACAGCTTTAAGAAAGCTATACGAAATTTGGTGGAACACACGGAACAAGTTGTGGACGAACAGAACCAACAATCCGCCGCTAATATTCCCACGGTGAAAATATCCCTTTCTTCGGACGTCGACAAGGTTGAGAAAGATCCAACGAAAATGGACTGCCTCAAAGTGAAGCCCACCATGGATTCTGGATCCAGTTCCGACCTTAGTTCTTGCCCTTCGCCCACTCCCTCGATTATTACCCAAAGGCTAGTCAACATTTCCCCGATGCCTGATCTTAGAAGAGACTCCACCTTCGAGGATCCTGATCTCATAAATCTCCCTGCTCCACCAGGATTTGGAGATAGCAGAAGATCCAGTCAAATACAACCTCAAACGTAAGTACTACCCATTAGGTTTTATTACTGCTGTAACAGGACGGATACACGCAAAGAAATTTGTTGTCAAAATCAATATAAATATATGAATCTTCTTTACAAATTGTGTTAAAAATACAGATAATAACAAATTGTAATATACATTAAAACAAAATTAAAACAAATTTGTTACTATAACTTACACCTAGAACAGCAATTTGTAGTTGCTACACATATTTTTATATATGCATTTTAGTCATGTACTTGTTGCGTTTGTCACTATAATCTGGGTCCAGAAAATGTTATAAGGATGCATACATAAATATTATAATTTATGGTACAAGATGAAAAAACTTTGTAGAGTTTTTTACAACAATTACTAAAAAAGTACCTATTTCTCCAAATTGTCGTAAAAATAAAAGAAGTGTTAAACACTGCCGTCAAATATAATAAGGCTATATTTATACGTTACTTATTTAGTGTTGTTGCATTTTTCAACGCAACCAAATAAATTTGTTCATACAAATTGTAGCATATTGTCAATATATTTTTGGGGGGTTGGATGAGGGGATAAAAAAGCCAATAGCACTGTAAAATAAAACTAGTTTTATTAATGACTGGTATAAAAATCAACAGTTTACTTTAAAAAAATAAACTTAATGCTAAAAATACAGTACACATGCCTTACAGCCTTAAAATAAATACCTATTTTAGTGAGGAATAAAAAAATAAATATTACACATATGGGTGTTTTAGAACCCCCTTATATTGCTCTATTCAAAAATGTACAAATCAATATGGTGTTCCATTTAAAAAATATATAATATTTCATGAACCCGATGCTCCATTGTTTTGCTTCCAAGATGTTTAAATACTATCGGTTCACTTGCTGGCTGCTTCGATTATCTAAAACATTAATTGTATAGGGTTGTCCAAAAAAACCGTAAATTTTTCTAATGAAGTATTTAAATTTTTTAATTATAATAAAATAAAAATTTGTTAAAAAAAAACATGAGAAAAGTTTTTAATTTGTTTTTTTTTAAATAAGGCTTTTCTTTGGTTTCTGGCACGTTGCATGGCGTTGTCCAAGGCCACGTCAAAGGACCTCTGAAACTCTACAGCCCCAGGAGGAGAAAATCTCTCGTGTCATGTAAACTCTCTAGAAAAAATACCTTTATACGTGTTATAATATTATGAGATAAATAGAATTACGATAAGGCTATCAAGAATTATGTTTTATTAAACATTAAGAAGTTATTGTAAAATTGTTTGTGACTTTATATGTTATGAAGAACTTCTAAAACAAAAAATATATCAATATTAAAATTCAATGCAAAAATTTCAATTACCTTGCTCACTTCAGGCACTATAGATCTTTAAACCCAATAATCTTTTTCCTCTGTGACATATAGGTAGAAAATGTATTTTTAAATTGTTCTGCTTGTAGTAAAAGCCTTGTACGCATAAACACTATTTACCTAGAAAAAGACAGTTCTCTTTATCTTCGCTGCAACTTCATGCAACAAGATAAAAATATCTAACAATAAACAAAAAATTAATACATACCAATAATACCATAATTAATACCAATGAAAGTTTATATTACTTTAAAATTAACGAGGGAATAACAATCTTAAAAAAGTAAGAAATTGTATGATAATTGAATTATTTATTAAAAAACTTGAAAACATAACCTAAATTACTTATTTAAAAATTAAAGCCGTTTAAAACTTAACACAGGTTTAGTTAGTGCACTGATGATTATATTTTTTGTAATAACTTTCACACAAGCATTTTTTTACGCTTTTTTGTAGAGAAGTATTAATTTACTGCAACGTACCTATAACTCGCTATTGCCCATAGTAAACTGATTCTTTTCCCATGCTGATCAATTATTTGCCAAGTTTCGTTCAACCTGCATTACAAACGCTGAGTGGCATAAAATATGTCAATGTTTGGTCAAACTTAATGAAAATACAATTTATGTGTCCAAAGGACCAGCGAAGCAGCAATAGAATCGATGCTTCTGGAGACGTGCACGAACCTCCTCAGTCTCGAGAAGCAGCAGAAGCCCATCGAAGTGACCATAGAAAAATTCGTGGACGAAACGCTGGAAACGAAGCAACGACGGGACAGCACGAAGAGCCTCGGCGAACGCCACGACGACGAAAAAGAATGCAGCAGCATATTGTCTGCGATATCGAACGAGGAAGCTAGCAGCATAGCGTCGGAAATACTCGACCAAAAGTCGTTTTGTCCGCGTAAAAACAGTGACGGTGAGGACGAGAACGGGCACATTTGCCACATTGATTCACCAGAAACTGACACAAACCCGTATTCGGACATCATTCATGGTGAGTCTTTAATGGATGACATTAGCTCGATGTTAGGTGAAGTTTTGTATGGATATGATTTGGACAGTGTCGATAATACTTATACCGAAGACACGTCTCTGTTTGCAAGCGATTTAGGTAAGGATAATCCACTAACAGATCAGTACTCCTGCCTTGTATTATATATGCGTTGCTTCAAATCTATAGTTATTTCAAATGAGTTGGTTTAAAAGTTCCTGGTTTTACATAGAAATGGTCTAAATTTGCCAAATGTTTCCATTTATGGAACAAGTTTGATTTTCTGATTACTGTTTTGGATCCTTTATCACCTAATAAAAAATGGAAGCCAGTAACTTTCCAACCCACTCTAGCATAGATGTATAAAAATTAAAAGAATAATTAAAACTGATTTCAATGTCTAATGGTAAATCTTTTTTAAAACCAAATGATTTCGTCAATTTAAGTAAGATTATCAAACATGAAATTGTTTTCTTTGTTCTGTCCCTTTCTTTAAAACATTTCCTTCATTTCCCTTAATATAGAAACTCAGGAAAAGTTTAATCATAATCTTAAAAAAAAAATTAAAACAATATAAAGGACATAAATAGATAAAAAATTTTAACTTTTTAATTTTTAACCAATTCTAATTATATTTTTTACTTGCTCCAGTAACCCAAATTCGGATGACTACTTATATTTAGAATTCTTTAAATAAAATTAAAAGTTTAATTAATGACCTAAAATAATTTTACACACAATATACCTGCACGGGCGTAAACATTTGATTTTCATGTTTAACACCGGAGCATCCGCCATTTTTACAAATATTTTTTACTTTTTTATAACATTTTAAAACGTCTAAAAGTATATAGAATAACTTTCAAATTTTATATTGGATATAAACGGTTGTTTGTCCATTTCAAGAGCTAAATTTCGATATTTATAGAAAAATTTGGCAACTAATTTTTTAAAAGCCGGTAAATCAGATTTTGTATGGATATTGTTCTATAAAAATATTTAAATAAATTGATAATAAATTAAATTGTCGAAGGAAAAGTTTATTAATTTCTTTTAGATTCTCATTTTATTTAACACTCTTTTGCAAGCTCGTGGCTAAAATGGCGTTTATCAAACTTGACACATAATATACTATTATTATTATATCAAGTTTGTATTAATATTTTTTAATAGCTGTTTTTTTACGTAAACCTTATCTAAAAGTTATTTTCGTTACAGTGGAATGGCCCATATTATATTGTGTTGATATAAAAATTTATTTTAGAAAATACTTAGATTTTATTAAATTCAACCCGGCGCATTCGCCATTTTTGGAACTATCGTAATATTAGTATCATTGAGTAAGATGTTCTTCTTTACTCAATGTTAGTATTATAAATTATAATTTATCATATAGTATTATAATATAATTTATTTATTTCACGAAAAATTTTTAGTTTTAAATATAAATTTGTTTTAAAGTCTAGATGTTGATAAACAGTATTTTTTGAGCAAGCCATATTTTTACAATATACAAGGGCTACTATGTCAGTTTTTAAGTGTAAATTTAAAAAAAAATCATATTAGCGATTAAATAAAAAAATCTATGCACGGCACTGGATTCACCAACCCTTAAAACGACTAAATTTTACTGGAAAAATTTAAGCACAAACGATTTCGTAGCCAAATTTAAAATGAAGAATAATAATTATTTACAAAAATTTATTCTGTCAAGTTATCCATGAAAAAAACATTGAAATAAAATTAAACTAAAAGTAACATGGTATAAATATTACTAGGCTTATTTTTGATTAATAAAAAAAACCCAATAGAAACTTAAAACAACAATGAAACAAAAAATAGAGAATTCAAAAAATTCTCTAATAATAAATTTTATACCATGTTGCTTAGACTGGGCCAAAAAACAACTATTTTTTTTTTGAAAAGTATATCGAAAATATGGTTTGGGGTGACAAAAAAAAATATTGTGAAAGTTTGAGTCCATAATATTAATATTAAGAGGTCGCAATTTTACTTTTTTTTTCCTCAGCAAGTTTTTGTCTCAGAACTCCCAAACCATTGAGTCGAAAATATTTTTTTAAGAAAATTAAATGCTCCACAAAAAAGGTTAAAGTGAAATTTTCTGTCAGATGAACCGTTTCCTTAAAATCATGCCTTAAAAATTAGTATAGTTTTACATTTTGATCTTTTAAATTGGAATTTTGTAATTCATTTAAAAATCAGTACCCATAAAAAACCGATAAATATTCTTATGGGAAATCAAATGCTTTACAAAAAAAGCCTCTCAACATTTTTGGCTAAATTCACTCAATCAAAATGATAAAAGACTTCTTTGTAGAGCATTTGATTTCCCATAAGAATATTTATTGGTTTTTTATGGGTACTGATTTTTAAATACAGAATAAATTTTTGTAAATAGTAATTATTGTGCATGTTTAATTCAGCTACTTCAAATTTTTCCATAAAATTTAATATAGGGTCGTTTTGAGGGGTGATGAATCCAGTGCAGTGCATAGATTTTTATTTAAAAAAGCGCTAATATGAATTCTTAATAATTTACTCCTAAAACCTGATATAGTAGGCCTTGTATTTTGTAAAATATGATATTTTTTGTTCCAAAAATATATTTTTATAAATTTTATGAAAAATTAAGGATTTTTTTACATTTTGGAACTAAAAAATGGATCTTTATACAATGTTCCGGATAATATATTGTTCTGAATATTTAAATAAAAAAATAATAATTTTGGAATAAAAATACGTGTTATTTTTTTTATATCGTAGGTAAACGAAAACAAAATATTCCAGGCAAATTTAAATTTTTAACAACTAAGTATCTATAGTTGTCTGTAAGTTTGAAAAAAAACATATTTTCCGTAATATTCCAGAAAGAAAACGAAGCGTAAAAAAAGATTCCCTCGAACGCAAGCGCAGAGCGTCGCGCACAAAATCCGAAGAGGAAACGCAGTTCGGCTTCGAAAATCGCGCGTTCATGTCGCAACACGTCTTCCTCGACAACAAGCTCGAATCGGACCCGCCCCGCTACTGCAGCCTTGCGCAGTTCGTCGAAGGCAACGACATCGCGCGGAAGTCCTTCAAAGGCAAAAGAACGAGCACGAAGATGTCGAAGACGGAAGCGAACGTGACGAGACAGAGCACGCTATTGGAGGAGCGCGAGTCGGAGGCCACTACGCCGATTAACAAAGGCAGCATTACCAACTTAAATAAAATGGAAAAGGAACTGTCTAATGTCTCGACGAGCACACTCAAAGCTCTCGAGGACGACAAGGAGATTTTAAAAGAGGATTCGGTAAGTGGACCAGCCTTGTCAGATAAAGTGTTCTGTTTATATACAGAATATCTTTAGTTCAAGTTTTATTTTAATTATGTAAATTAAATATCCTTGCTTATACAGGGTGTCCCAGAACTCGCACCAAGATATGCGAAACACATACTTTAAAATTAAAATTATCTAATGCAATGGATAAGCGAGATAAGAATAAAAAACGATAGCCAATCCCAATACATGGCCATCGGCAGTTAGGTTCTACTTTAGTGCCGATTTCTTTTACTTTACTGCCGATTATTGACTACTTTACTGCCGATTTCGGATAAAAAATATTTTGTAGACTGGAATCCACTTTATTGTGACACTGCTGTCAATTTTTATTATTTATCATTTTAAGTTATGTTACCTAGAAATTTTTTATTTTTAAATTTGGCATCTCCATTGCTATCAGCACGCCCCCTTTTCTCTGTTGCGTGAGTTCTGGGACACCTGTTTAGTAGTAGCGTTAGTTTCAGTAGTATGGAGTTACAATAATTTTTGGTTAAAGAGTAACTGGGTCGGTTTTTACTAAATTTTGGGTTTAAAATTATGTTTACGTTTAGTTCCCTTATGTCGTTTCGCACAATTCTTGCTGCATGATCACTTTTTTATAATGTTTTTACATGTTTAAGCATTTTGCTATTTTTTCAAAATATGTCTTATTTTCTTTTGTGTTCTAAATTAATACCTTTTTACACAAAAAATACATGTGTCGTATTATTCTCAGAAAATAGATAACCTTAAATATTTGCATTCAAATGTCAGCGTGGAAGTTTTAGGTGTGGAGCATAATATGCTTATATTATAAAAGTACCTACATACAGGGTGGCCCATTAAAAACAGTCCAGCAAGGTTCAGGCTTTGTGTGTAAAGTTTATGGAGAACGGAAAAAGATATCGATTTAAAATTCGTATAGCAATTATTAGGCAATGTAAACTATTTTTAAAATTATTTTCAATGCGTTTACTTCCGGTTAGACCGGAAATTTTTTTGGTAGTTTCGTTTGAAATAAGAAAGTTATTTCAAGAATTTTACGTAGAACTTAAATGCAATAATATTTATATGGTTCCATTTGAAAAACCAAATTTAATATTACTTCCGGTTTAACCGGAAGTGACAACGCATGAAAAATAATTTAAAAAAGGAATAATGAATAAGTTGACTGAATCACCCTGTATATAAATATTCTTATAAATTAAACTGCATATTTAGGAGCTTATTATTGCAAATTGCTTTATCAAACCATATATTTTAAAATGCTTTACGTAATTTTTTGTGTATAGTAGCCATTATTCATTTAATTGGAATATTATATATCAAACTGTTTTGAATATATTATGATCCCAGTTCTGTTAACTGAAAATAACTGTCAACTGCCCCCTATTCCAGTGTAAGTTCCCACAAGTGTGCGTGATAGTAGAGCCCCCTTCTCCGGTCATGACCGAACAAATTCGTTCGGAACGGCTCGAGAATATCCGAATAGAGATAGAAGGCGAATCGGAACCGGAAATAGATTTCCATAACCTTTGTTCCAAGGCGGACAAATTATCGACCAGCGACATCACGAGCAACAACAGCAGCTTGAATTTGCTTGGCATCGACAACGAACAGTTTTTGACGCGATCTCCTGCAGCCACTAGAAGGATTTCCTGCTGCAGCATGCTAAATCCCACCGAAACTGCAGCTCTGGCTGCAGCTGCAGCAACCAGCAATTTTTACGCCGATTCCGAGAGGAAAGAAAAGAAGGTGGATGAGGGAGAAAACAGGAAATTTCCAATTATCAATCCTTTGGTTCAGTTACCAACTTGGCCAAGTAACATTTACAATTTTGCTTGGGGTCTTTCCATTTCAAATCGACCAGACAAAAAGGGGTAGGTCGTTATTTTTTAACGAAATTCTTTTACAGTTTTTCTTTCAAAATCGATGAGACCCGTACTTTTTGTTTTTGCTTAAATTTGTTTTGTTCACCCGTAGAAAATTTTTGAAAAATGGACAGAAACATCGATTTTTCCCTTTTTACAATTTACATTTTTTCTTGAAAATGCGGTAACTTGTAGATTGATGTTTACTATATACACTGCGCGTCAAAATTAACTCATAACAAGTAAAAAAATCCAACTCTAAAACGCCTTTCCAATCTTTATAAAATTTTGTATAAAAATACTTATATCTTAGTTTCCGTGTTCAAGGGTTTTTGGAGAAAATATCCTTAAAGCCCTTTTATTTAATAAAAGAAAATGCTCGAAAAAAAAACTTTTATGGGGAAATTTATTTTTAACCCTAGAATACTGTTGTACGTAAAAATTACGTATAATTAAAAACACTCCCCCGCCAAATCGAAACCGATTGAGCCTCCCACTCCAGCGGCCAGCAGTGCTATCTGTTAAGTTTATGCATCATCTCAAAAGGGAATTAGTTTGATTTGGCGTGCGTATGATCGTATCAACCGCTAATATTAAAGTCAGCACGTAAAATTTGAGAGAAGAAAATGAGAGGGAAGAAGGTCAAGCACAGGAAAGAGTGGAAAATCAAAAAGGCCCAAGAAAATATTGCCATATATGCCCATCAGCAAAAAAAAGAATGACCACAACGTACTGCATAAAGTGTATAAAACCAATTTGTGGCGAAAGTAATAATTTTTAATGTGACTTATAATTTATTTGTTTTGTATATTATTTTTTTGCCTTTTAATGAAATATTATTACAATACTTTCATAATTTAACTTGAATTTTGCTACGTACGTAAATTTTACGTATAAACAGTATTACGTGTCATAAAATAGCAACAGTATTCTAGGGTTAAGTAGGTAATTAAAACATATGTTGTGAAAGACCGTATTTTTGTTAGTATACCCTGAAAATTTTGGACAAATCAAACGAACAGTAACGAAAATACAGCGTTTCAAAGTCGTCAAAAATGCCCACTTCAGCAAAATAATAAAAAAGGGATAAAAAAATTCGTTAAAAAATAACGACCTACCCCTTTTTGCTTGGTCGATTTGAGATGAAAAAGGCCCTTTGTTAAAAAACTCTTTTTACCACTGATTTTTTTTAGATGTTGGGGCGGGTACAGGTTTCATCGGTAAATGCCTTCTGGCAAATGCAGACGCGTTATGTGCAGCAGTAAGTCCTTTAATAGATCCAGATGAATCCATTCTAGAAGGTTACTATGAACGGTGCGTCATGAATAACTATTTTGGCATTGGAATTGATGCCAAAATTTCGCTTGATTTTCACCACAAAAGGGAAGAGCATCCGGAAAAATGCAGATCTAGAGCCAAGAATTACATGTGGTATGGTGTTTTGGGCAGCAAACAATGGCTGCAGAAGACATACAAGAATTTGGAGCAAAGGGTGCAGTTGGAATGCGATGGTCAGAGGATTCCGTTGCCTAGTTTGGAGGGAATTGTAATCTTGAACATTCCAAGGTACGAAAACACTTTCTAAATATTTTAAAATTCTAGTAAAACAACAAATAATCTAGAGTAGGACGAGAATTTTAGACCTGAAGCTAGCAATAAATGTATAAATTTTATTTGCAGTTTTATGGGTGGAATAAACTTCTGGGGTGGAAATAAAGAAGGCGACATGTTTATAGCCCCAAGTTTTGATGACAAGATTTTAGAAGTTGTCGCTGTTTTTGGATCAGTACAAATGGCTGCTTCAAGACTTATAAACCTACAGCACCATAGAATCGCACAGTGTCAAAGCATACAAATCAATATTCTAGGTAAAGTCATTTTGTTTTTTCTGTACATTTTTATGTAAAATTTTCATATTTGCCGCCAGTTTTGTAGAAGCTATGACGTCATCGGCCGTGTTTGGGCATTAAAATTATTTTAAAAATGCTTTTAATGGATACATTCTTCACGAATTTTATTTTTCAAGTCCTATAAATTTTGTGGTCTGTTGATGTAGACCTTCATTCTCCTTGGAAAACAGTTCTAATAATGAGGGAAGAAGAGAGCTTTGCAAATATTCCATATACGTTTGTCCTGTAATGTTTTCGTCAAAGAAGAAAGGAGCTATGATCCGACTTTCCACTATTCCTGCCCAGACATTCACTTTTTGCCGGTATTGGGAATTTGCCTCTACTACCCAATAAAGATTTTCTCTGCTACAATTTTGACGGTTGACTGTTCCATTCAAATACAAGGTAGCTTCGTCCAAAAAAAATATTTTACGAGGAAAGTGTGGATTATTGTTACATAAATTCATCATGGTTTCACAAAATTGAAGTCTACCGTCCGGATCGTCTTCGTTAAGTTCCTGCACTAGTCTAATTTTGTATTTATGGTACTTTTCTTTCTTCATAAGCGTTGGCTGATTTTACTTTCAACATCCACTGGGCTAGAAGCACTATGAGGATCTTCTTCCACGCGTAACAAAATGTCAATTTTAGTGCCTTCACTAATACTCGGACGGCTAGGTTTTGTAATATCTTTGACATGTCCAGTCTCTCTGAATTTTCGTCCGATTTTATAAACCGGCCTTTAAGGTCGAGCTGGATACTTTGCATTAAATGAATTGTTGTCTTCTAGTTTTATTGCCAGTATTAAAACTTAAATTTTCTGTGTTTTTGTTAAATGGCTCATATTTAAATACTTCGAAATATTTGGCTCAATTAAAATTTTAACTTAAGTTTTTACATCCAGTAGTAAATATAAAATAAAACACTTCCATTTATCGACACTTGCTATTTGTAGAATAACAATAATACATACAATAATAAATTAAAAAGTGTTTTAATAAAAACTATAAAACATCAAAACATTATAAAAAACTATAAATTTTCCACTTTTAACAATTATTTTCGAAATTAGCCAAAAACGTTTAATGTGCATATTGCTGAAATTACAATTTCATAATCTATTCTAATAGGTATCCAAAAACAAATAAGGGTCAGTCCATGTCAACTCAACACACCCATTTTACCACACCACCTCAGATTTTCTTAAAATTTGGTATACTTATACTATGTACTAAGACTAAGAAAAATACCAATTTTTAAATTTTTATCTCACACCGTTTCCGATATATGGCTATGTAAAGTTTTAAAAAACTCGCGAAAAAAGTGTGAACGTGTATTTTTTAAATTGCTCTGGAAGCTGTCCTAATTCAGCTAGAAAGCTGGGAGAGGTGTCATTTTGCAGCATTTTAAATGTTCTTTCAAATGACATACGAACGCCAAGGGTATTAATGAAAAGATTTTGTTTAAAATCCATATATATATTTTGATTCAATTTTTTTTCAAAAAGTACATAATTTAAAATTCTCAAAATATTTGTATAAATACTTAGTACTGTTTTAAACCATATAGTAAAATATAAATGTGGGGTCTTAATGGGTTCAAGTTAAAAAAAAATGATTTGTTTTTTTCATTGGATTATAACACTGCACACTTACAATAGTAGGCTCCATGTTGACACCCAAATCACTTTAAACACACCTCATTTATAGTTTTATTTTTAAGTAAAACTACGAATATATACAGGGTCCGATAAAAGTTCCCTGAATTTTTTTTTAAGCGAGTTTAAAATTTATCAATAAGGTTTTCGCGGAAATTGTTCGCTCGAGCAGGTTCCTAGAACCCTTTCATTTCTGAAAATATTCAGTTTATGTTGTTCTGTTTAAAATTTAGTTCAATATGAATCCCCAAAAAAAGCGTATCACAGTAATTGAATTAAAAAAGTCGGGAATGTAGGCAGCCGATATTATTAGGGTTCTTAGAACCCTTAATTTTTGAAAATATTCATTTTATGTTGTTTTGTTTAAAATTTAGTTCAATATGAATCGCCAAAACAAGCGTATCACAGTAATTAAATTACACAAGTCGGGAATGATGACAGCCGACATTATAAAAAAAAATACAATTGTCAGGCTTAAGCCTGATAAACGTTGAATAATGTCAAAATTAGTTAAAAGTGAAAAACCAGCATCAGAAATATTTTTTTTAACAATGAACCCATTAAGACCCCACATTAATATTTTATTATATGATTCAGAACACTACCAAGTATTTATACAAATATTTTGAGAATTTTAAATTATGTACTTTTAAAAAAAAATTGAATCAAAATATATATATGGATTTTGAACAAAATCTTTTCATTAATACCCTTGGCAGTCGTATGTCATTTGAAAGAGCATTTAAAATGCTGCAAAATGACACCTCTCCCAGCTTTCTAACTAAATTAGGACAGCTTCCAGCGCAATTTAAAAAATAAACGTTCACACTTTTTTCGCGAGTTTTTAAAAACTTTACATAGCCATATATCGGAAACGGTGTGAGATAAAAATTTAAAAATTGGTATTTTTCTTAGTCTTAGTACATAGTATAAGTATACCAAATTTTAGGAAAATCTGAAATGGTGAGGAAAAATTTCTTTTTCTGGAATGGCTCATAAGAAGGGTTCTAGGAAATTTGTTCGAAAAAAAATTGTTCGAAGGAAATTTGTTCGAAGGAAATTTGTTCGAAAGAAATTTGTTCGAAAGAAATGTATTCGAAAGAAATTTGTTCGAATAAAAATTTGTTCGACGGAAATTTGTTCGAAAGAAAGCCAAAATATCGAGAGAAAAATATTTTATTAACCACTAGAAAAGTTCAAATTTATAATAAATTAGTACGAAATGTTGTGAGCAACACCTCTTAAATATGCTAGGATATCGCCTTGAGGGTCATAATTATTTATAACATTTAGAAGTCTTGCAGCAGCATCTTCATATATTTTTTTTTATTTTCAATTGCTCGACCAGCTATAGCCTGTTCAATGCGAAGTTCATTAATAGATTGTTCTCGTTTTAAGGCGGTAATGAACTTCCAAACTGTCGGATGCTCTGCTCCAATCTGTGCCTGGAAACCGCGATGCCATCCTTCCAGAGCATTATTTGTCTTAGGGAGATTTTCGGTTACTGAAGATTGAATTTGCCTATATATACATTGACAAAAATGGAAAAAACACCCCCTTATAACTGTATTAGGAAATTCAACGGATAAAGCTGCAATCATCGCACTCTCAAAGTCAATCATTACAGATAATGGGTTAACATTTGGATTTAATTCCTTAATAGCACGTAAAAGTTCCCGGTACGTTGTTTCTGTTTTATTGGGCAACAATGCATATAATAATGGAATTGCAATGCAATCGCTAAATCCATGTACAGTGTACAGTTGCGCGAACTGTGTTGGCACTGTTTTAAATGTTCCGTCAGCATACCAGTGTAGGGAAGACTCGAGAAGTTCCAGATTTTTTCGGGTGCCAAAAATTAAAATCCTGTCGGGTGTCATTCCAGAATCGTACAACAGGAAGTTTTCACCACTGCTTGTATGCTTGTATTCATCGGAAAAAGTAATATCGGCTCGGTGTCTTGGAGTAACAGGGCCAGCTTCTATCTTGTTCCTTACATTTCGTATCGTTCTCTTCATTGTTTCAAAACTAGGAAGTTGAGTGGCAGCGGCTCGACTCAATTGAGTAGAAATATTAGAAATAATGTAATGAGGAGGATCACGGCCGGTTTCTGCTTCTTGCTTCATGGATCCATATACAATTCTGGCCTCAATACCTGCTGCATCTCCTGAATGATTATGCAAGTTATTTTCTTTGATGACTGTTTCACCTGATGTAATTGCACGTCCTTTACAGGAATTTTTTTTTAAATGTTCACACTTCCAATAAATTCTGTCTTCACTAACTTTGTCGGAAGTGTAAATGAAACCGTTGAGAGACAAAAGATTTTTGCCTTTCGAACTTTTAATAAAATTTAGAGCCATGTTCAATCGAAGAAATAGCAAGATAAATTAAGGCTGTCAATTGTTGTAAGGGAATTTATACTAATTTAGGTACATGCAGAGGTAAATAAGGATTACAATTATTTTAATATTTTTAATAATAAATTACCTTGCAATACAATACCTTCCGAAAAGGATTAAAATTATTTTAATATTTTGAATAATAAATTAAGGCTGTCAATTGTTGTAAGGGAATTTATACTAATTTAGGTACATGCAGAGGTAAATAAGGATTACAATTATTTTAATATTTTTAATAATAAATTACCTTGCAATACAATACCTTCCGAAAAGGATTAAAATTATTTTAATATTTTGAATAATAAATTACCTTGCGAATAGAATATCTTTTCAAAAAGGATTACAATTGTTTTTATTTTATTAAATGAGCTTAAATTAAACAATCTTCGAACAAATTTCCGTTCGAACAAATTTACGTTCGAACAAATTTCTTTCGAACAAATTTCCATTCGATCAAATTTTTTCGAACAAATTTCCTTCGAATAATTTTCTTTCGAACAAATTTATTTCGAACAAAATTCCGGATACCCATAAGAAGATTCTATTTGAAAAAATGTCCGTTTACGTCAATCCAAGTATAATTCATAGTTGGGTAATTTTCCCATAATTTTAATATTTACATCAAAAATGTTTTAACTAAAAAATTTGTCAGTTTTTCTTGTTAAAATTACGACAAAGCACAATTTTTAATTTAAGTCATCAAAGCACTAGTACTTTTCCGTCCCTTACCTTCCCAGGTAACCAAACGTGACTAACATTTTTAAATGTGACGTTAACGTGGCCAATATCTTAACTATAAAGTTGTGACCTATATATCTTTAACGATAATTAATAATTTTGGAGATGTCGATTTGATATAGAATCTGCCTTTACCAATGCTTTCACGATTTTCCATAGACTTACTTTGCTAAATTAATCGTTATATATAAACGTGACTTTATTGTCACGTTATAACGTTATAGCAAAAGTCACGGTATACCGTGACTTTAACTTTACGATTTACCGTGTCTTTAGCTACCCTCTTAACTCTTTATTCAATTCGCCATTATTGTCAAATAAGTACCTAGGTAGGTATATTGATCTGATTTTGTTCTGTTTAGTGATCCCGTGCAACTAATTTGTTTTGAAATTGGTTTATTTAAAAATTATTAGCTTGTGTTTAGTATTTATTATATATTATTTTCTTTGGAAGGCGTTAACGCCTAATTAATTGTAAGTATTGTTTTTCATATTGTTTTTCTATAAAAATAATTATAGGTAACATTCATTTTATTATTTTAATGCCTTTTACCTAAATATTTAACAAGTACCTAGGTACCTAAGTGGTTTTGATTTAAAAACTTAATTATGCAAAAATTCTGTTTACTTTATTATGTAGAGGAGGTATATAACTATAGTGTTCACATTAATACTTTTTTTCAGCAAAAGAAAAAAGAAATACAGCAAAATGTCGAATAGAAGAAAAATATTGACTGAATATGCTTTAGAAAATTATTTATTTGGTTTTTATCCTTTTGAAGAAGAATATATTTATTTAGTTTTTGATTGTTTTTATAATTTGGTTTGAGAAATATATTGTTTTGTTAAAGGTATTATTATTAATTAATCATAAATTCTTCTGAAACCTGTTCCATTTCAGTGTTTTGTGCTTATTTAATTATTTAAAATATACATATATATATATACATATAGCTATATATAGCTATAGCTTACTATAGTAAAAATTTAGGACTAATTCCAGCAATCTAAGACTTGAGCAGATTAGTTAAAGACAGCTGTCACTAGTGGCGACTGGGGGATTTGGGGTATACTGATATCTTAGTTATTAGACATGGGTCCCAAAACTTTTATGAAGTTGTAATAAAATTGAAAATTGTTGCGAAAAAATTAAGTTTTTCAGCGTGCCCCTCTAATTAAGATGATTCAAATTAACGTGGTGCAATTAATAACTCACTATAGTTTATAACAAATTTCAAAATTTATTTAAAAAATCCAAGATTACAAATATACCATTTTTTAAATGTTATTTTAGGATAAAAAAAAGTTTAAATGGTATAAAATCTACTTGGAATTTGAAATAAATTTTGAAATTTGTCGATAAACTGCACTGAGTTATTAATAGCACCACTTTAATTTGCATTATCTTAATTAGGGGGGCAGGGGACTTGGCTGAAAAAAAATACTTTTTTTGCAAACTTCAATTTAATATTATTATAAACTCATAAAAGTTTGGTTTGGGTCCTGTATAATAACTGAGATATTGGTATACCGGTATATATACCAAAAATCCACCAGCCGCCACTGGTTAAAGATACGGTCACAAATTCAAAATCGAATATAACTGTATTTTCGTGTTGATTTAGTAACGATTACAGCGTCACGTAAACGTTATGTCGATTCGGTTTAAAATCACGATAACGCTAACGTGACGATCACGTTATAACGGCAGGTGAGCGGTTTTGTGAAAAATTTGAGTTTAAAATTGATATAGTTTCGACGATTATACACGTGACGATAAAGAAAACATACATACAATTTCTGTCACTTTTTCGTTACGTTTGGTTACCTGGGTTATTTATAAAAAAAATGTCAAAAATCTTCGATATAGGCAGAAATTTTCTTTTTACTTATAATAATTATTATAACTGTATTTGAAATGCCTTAAAAGGTTTGTCATGTAAAATTAATGTTATTCTTACTTTTCAGAAAGTCAAACCACATAAATTGGAAAGCAATTTAAATTAAGGGTCTATTTTTTCAATGGGAAGAGCCGTGTCTTACTAAAATCCTGTTAAGGCTACATTTTTTGATTCTATAAACTAATACTTTGATTATATAAAATGAATTCATTCACTCGCCTATCGGCTCGCTCAGAAACTTTTATCATCGGGAGTAATTGCTATGATTCCACGCTCGGCAAACAATATACTATTTCGTCAGCAGGTCTGTGGTTATTAATTTTGTTTAAATGAAAAAGTTAATATTTAACATAAATATATAAAATTTAAATAATTACGGCGAATCTTTACTGCATTTTTTTAATATTCAGTTAATTTTAGTTGCCCTTGACTTATACCGACTAGTACGTTTAAAATAGGGACGGTCTAGAAAAGAACGGTCTGGAAAAGTCCGATGTTTTGACACAATGGTAGGTAAATGGCAGAATTTCAGATTGAGGATATGTATAAATTTTAAACAACATAATGTTAATAAAAAAATCGTAGTTTTCTTAAACAAAAATAATAAATATGTCTGTTATCATTAGGGGCGGCTCGGAACAAAATAAAAATACGGAAGCAAATAATTATTAATCACTTTATGAGACACAACGTATTTTTTTTACTTTGTATTGCTGTAACTGACTAATTCCCGCGTTATTAAGACAAATTTTACTGCTGGGGTAGTATGTTCAATTTTATTTTCCACTAAATGTGTATGGGGACGGTTAAGGAATAACAATTTCAGGAAACTTTTTGAAGCCAAAAGTATTTTTCTTAAAACTTTAACATTTTATTATAGAAATCATTAATACCATTATCATTATATCAGTTTATTTATATTGAAGTAGATAAGTTTAAAAAAAGGTTTGGGGCAAATGGAGTCAGGAATTTTAGGGGTTTCGGATGGGATATTCAAGTTTAAATTATGGGAGAATTACTTTGTTACTAATAATTCATTTTAGGTGACGAAGGGGTGCCAATCCAAGTGGACGGTGAGGCGTGGATCCAACCGCCTGGCATAATCCGCATCATGCACAAAAACCGGATGCAGATGCTCTGCAGGAATCGCTCTCTGGAAAACTCGCTCAAATCGTGGGAGGAAAAGCAACGACAAAGCATAGCAGCGCAGGGGGCGAAGCAGCGCTTCTCGATATCGCACGACAAACACGACAAGACGCGGCAGAGTTTGGCGAGACAGAGCATGCCTGCGCACGACAACAAGACGTTCCTGAGCGTCAAGATCGACAAGATTCGGCAGCATTCGTTCAGCGGGGTCGTGCCGATACACGCCGAGAAGGAGAAGGAGAGGCCAACAGTCACGTTCAACTTGGAAAAACCGATGAGTTCCAACGAACCAGACGCTAGCTTTTCCGAAGAAGAACACTATCTTCTCATCAACTTTATCGGTAAGTGTTTTATAGCCTTCAAAGATTGCACTGTATGGCACACCGCACAGTCAGGTATTTTGACATAAAACGTGGCCAAAAATATTTGGGCACTTTTTCTGTAGCAAATGACTAAAAAACATTTGTTAAATGTATAAAAGTGATAGTGTGTATTTTTACTAGAAATAAAAAAAAATATATGTATTATAAGAAATGTTTGTATAAAAAAATTACAAAGTAGCTACTTACATGCAACGCAGAATTATAAGAATTATTGCCTCCCTTGGTTATAGGGACGATTGCAGGGCTGAATTAAGAAGACTTGGAATTATGACTTTTCCTGCCTTATTTATTTTTCATAATTTGCTATACGTAAAAAATAATTTAAACTTATATAAAAGTCAAGACTATGTACATAACCATAACACCAGAAATAAAGGCAACTTAATTAATCAATTCTCTAGACTGAAAAGGTGCCAGAGTGGACCTGATTTTTATGGAATTAATTTTTTTAACAAACTCCCAAATAATGTAAAAAATATGGCTTTTAATGAATACTCATTCATTTTATTCTATTGATGAGTTTTTAAACTTTACCTTTTAATTGTGTCGTAGCTTATTTTATTATATTCTTTGTTTAATTTATATTTACATTTCTTGTACTATTTTTATATTTGTATTTTTCTGACGTTGTAAACCTTTTGGTAATAGCACTAATAAATATTATTGTTATTATTATTATAATACAATAAAAATATTAAAATTAAACATATATTAAGTAAATTTTTTGTGCCCTTTAAAAAATAAAAAATACATCCTTCTATCTAAAAATCTCATAAGATCGCACTAAAGTGCTTGTTTTCAAGGGTAAATTTTTCCGTGAAAACTTGTGAATGTTTTTGATGGCTACAGTTATTCTAGATGTCCTGATAATAATGCTTTATTGAACTAAAACCAAGTTCAAAGGCTATTGACCGTAGTCCTTCAGCCGTAAAACTCCTATTTGAATAAAAAAAATAAAAATTAAAAGTTATAACCTTTTAAAGACACATTGGTAAAATTAAGAGAAACAAAATTCATATAGGCATTTAACTACGCTCATACCTTGATTGACGATATCCATATCAACTTTTTCCTCCAAAATCACTTTTAACACAAGAAACAACACGGCGAAAATTTGTGTTTTTGTGGAGTGTCGCGAACAAAAAATTTACATTTATAATTTTAAAATATTTTTAACCTACCATGTATTGAAATACAACATTTACTAACCAACAATATTATTTCCAATCAATTTTTGCAAATATTTCATACATTTTTTTTTATTTCTTAAGTATAATTTATTTAGGCAGAATTTTGTAAATCTTAAATATATATTTTTTTAATTATTTAGTTTAATTTTTTATTATTTTAAAATAGTGTCGAGACATTTAAAATAAAAACATATATATAATATATGTATATATACATATATTATATATAAAACTTTTTAATAAAATAGTTTAAAACAATTGATAATCAAAATATATTTTAAATATCTTTCTGCTTAAATTTGTTTTGTTCACCCGTAGGAAATTTTAAAAAAATGTTCAGAAATATCGATTTTTTTCTTTTTACGAGTGACATTTTTTCTTGAAAATGCGTTAACTTGGCCAAAAATATTTCGATCGTTACAATTTTTAAATTGTAGGTAAATGTTTACTACATACAAAAAATATATAAAAAACTAAATGAATTCACATCATTTTTTTTAATTGTTTTTTCTAAAAAAGGCAAAAATTGAGGTCAAAATTTTGATATTGCCACATTTTTTTTCAACTTCATATTTTTTCCGTTGATAATATGAACAACTTTCACCAAAACTCCCGAGTTGGCTAAATTCGTCGTTTCGGAATTAATATTTTTTTAATTAAAATGCCATTTTCTAGTAAATTCGTAGTTTATCGCAAATATTTGTTTTTGTTTTGATAACCTATATGAAGTGTAATTTAGAACTTTATGACATTTTTAACATATTTTTGACACTTCTGGTTTCACCGGAAATGCTCTTAAGTAAGTAAATTAAATTATCAAAGATTTTAGAGTAAAATCTTAATCTTAATTAATATTTTTGCATGTGTTACTTTTAAAAGATGTAAAAAGTATACGTTAGTTAATTTTGGTTAAAATAATAAAAAGTAAGTATAACATACCTAAAAGTAATAAATCGAATGCATAAGACACTTATAAAAACGAGATTTCTAAGAAATTTAGAATACAAACAATTCCGGTCAGTCGCGAAACTCTTTTTGACTGAGGCTCTTTCAGGAAGGGAAATAAGTATTAAGCCAGATCTCTGATTAAGCCTAGAGATCCAGAAACTAATGCGCAGGTTAATTATGTTAAGAAATAACAAATTTTCATTTAATTTCATTTCATTCTTTTATTTATTGCCGGAGATTCCCTACAATGGCCACACTATAGGGCGGTTATAGATGTCTTTTCATAATTTTAAAATATTTGAATGATTTTATTCAGTAGTTTTAAAACCAAAAAATGTTGAGCAATTACTTACACCCCTTTGATTCTAACCACCTCTATTTATATTTTTATTTAATTTTATAAAAAGTTGACTTACCAGCAAAACAAACTAACGAACTGTCAAATCTGATACTTCTTTTAAAAACAAAAGTTTCAAAGCCTTCTTAATTTATTTACTTCTGTACACACTTTAAAACCTAATAAATATTTAAGTTTAATTAAGAGTTTGAAAGCGATGTTATTAAAAAATGCATTAATATTTAGTATCAAATTTAAAAAAAAAGTGGATTTCTCTTATGACCAACGAACCACCCTCTTTTGTTAAACAAAATAGTATGGTTTTTCAAATTTTGAAAGCTCCTAAAAACCAGCATTGCAAAAAAAGAATAAAATTGTATTTTTTCCAGACTACTTGGCCCAACATGAAGCTGAAAAGCCAATTCAAGGCACTCTAGATATAGAAATAAAATTTGATTAATAAAAGCAGGGCTGGAGGGTTCGTCCCGCGCATGACGTCACTTGATGAGTAGTTGCCGTGCGAATACACGAATAATAGTAATATTATCAAAGAAAATAGAGAAATTTCTGGACATAGTTCGTTTTTATTAAACTTAATATTGAAGAAAGTGTTATAATATGGATAATAAATGCTTTCAGTCCTTGATAACATTTAGGGCTGTAGTTTAAGCGTTGGTGTTTTAAATTAAACTTATAGTCACTGTCCAGAAAATGTTTATAGGAAACAGAAGCGGTCTTAACGTAAATATTGTCTATTATTTTTGTGGCATTTAAACACTGTTTCCACAAATCAAACTTTTTCGGGAATCGATTAAATTTAATGTTTTTATTTAAAGGGTTTTTCTTGGACTGGTTGTCCGAATTGCATCCAAATATGCCACACCGCATTTTAATAAATGCAAATGGCACTATACAATCTAAAACACAAACAAAACAAGTTAACGCAACACAAAAACAATAATAAACAAACTTATGTTCTGTGAAACAAACCTAACAGGTTAACCTAACGCTATAACAATAATTTGAACGCTGAAAAGTAATTCGAACCTTACCGAACACAAAAACGACAAGTTAGACAAAAAGTAGAGCAAGTTAACATCCAAAAGCATCGCAAAAACAAGAATTTTAGCAGCAGATAATTAAAAAGCACGTTACAGATTTAAAAACACTCATCAAGTGACGTCATTAAGCCCCGCCCAACATGCGCACCATCCTATCTTAAGGTGTATGTATCTTGAATAAAAGATTGCATCTGTCAGAAATTGACAAATGACATTTATGACATGTACAGGGTGATCCCCTATAATGTCGCCCCCCCTTTAACTTTTTTATTTTAAGTGTCCCAAAAAAATTAAAAGTGGTTATGTAGGAACTAAAAAATACTTTTATACAGCATAATTTATATACAAACCATATACCTAAATTCAACCGTTTCTGAAATATTTAAATTATTTACATAATGCCACTATAGTAATTTATTTTCAATAAAAATTTTGGCTACTGAGGCTTCTTGATTTTTAACCGTTGAAAAAAACATTTAATGATGACATTTCGAATGCGAATATTTCAGAAACGGTTGAGTTTAGGTATATAGTTTGTATATAAATTATGCTCAGAATTTTACAAGGAATCGAAAAATAAATTCAAATATAGGGTGATCCATTGAAAAAAAAATAAACTTTTTGTTTTTCCCTGTATACTGATCAATTTTCCAATTTTCTTTATACGTAGAAAAAAAGTATTTTTTAGTTCCTACATAACCACACTTTTAAATTTTTGGGACACTTAAAATAAAAAAGTTAAAGGGGGGCGACATTATAGGGGATCACCCTGTATGTACCCTATGTATTCAGAATTTTATTTTGAATCAAAATATGTAAAAATGCATAGGGTGTTTCATTAAAAAATTAAAATATAAAAAAATGTGGAAATGTCAAAATTTTGACCTCAATTTTTTTGCCTTTTTTAGAAAAAAACAATTTAAAAAATTGAGTGAATTTACTTAATTTTTTATATTTTTTTTGTATGTACATACACCGTAAACATTTACCTAAAAAAAATTGTTACAATCGAAACATTTTTGGCCAAGTGGCAAGAAAAAATGTAAATTTTGTAAAATTTTTAAAAATCAATATTTTTGAGCTTAAAGTTTTACAGTTGTATTTTATATTTAAAATATTGTTTGACTATCAATTGTTTTAAGTTAAAAAAAATTTACTCTGTAAAGTGCTAAACTTTAATCTTCAAACTATTATCTAATAAATACTAAAACGGAGAGCACTGCTTTAATATAAACTTTGCAAACGTAACATATTTTTTAGAATGCATTACAACCTTAACAAAATGGATAAAAATGTTGGCAATCAGCTACACGTTAGAGACCGACTTATACTCTTTGGCAACGAAAACCGACGAAAGCCTCGAACGACTTCACCCGAACGGAAAGCTGTTGGAGGGTACGAAGCTGCGAGCGGAATTCACGAAGCTTGTTGCTACAGTAAAAACCCTGTACGAAGAAAGTTGCTGCTTACTGCACGACAGGGGTGACAAGTTAAAGCTTAGGGAGGACTTGGAGAATAAATTGAGCGCCAGCTTGGCAAACACCGAGCTGGAAATGAGGAAGTGCGTTATGTACGACACGCCTACTGGGAGCATGGTTTATTTGCAAGCCCTACAAGGCGACCAGGCAAGTTTAAATTTAGTTTATTGTTAGACATTTAAGTGGTCATTTATCACAGGCACGCCCAAACATTTGGAAACAAATTAATAATGAAATTGTTAAACCAAAATTGCAATTGCAGTTACCCAGAGAGCCATATCAGGTCAAGACTTGCCCTTTCATCTTTGGAAGTTTTGCCAATAAATGTAAAATATATGACTTAATATTCCTATGATTTTTGTGCAATCGCGATGGCCAACAATAAATAATTTAATTGTGGTCAATAATATGCAAAAACAGTGTGGATTAATCTACCTTACCGTTGGTTTAATTTTGGAAATGTTTAGCCATGGAAAAACGTTGACAAATTTTGTATGTTTATTTGGCCAAATATTAGGCTTTTAAACAAATCAGGGTGGAAATCACCCTGGAACAAATCCAGAGTATTTACAAATAATATAATTATATTTGAAAGAATTTTACTAAAAAACTTTTTCTCATTTACATTAAAATCTATTAATTTTTTGGAGAGTATTTGAAAATGCGTAGGTAAATAAAAATTTTAGAAATTTAAAAAAATTTTGGATTTTTTCAAAATTTTAAAAGCCCTTGTTATATTTTTTATAAGGTTGGATTTAAAAACATAAATTTTGGATTTTTTAAAATTATGAAGTTTTTGGAATTTTTTAAAATTTTGAAAAAAAAATCTTAAAAAACAAATTTTAAAATTTTTGTAAATAATTTTGTGAATTTTAAAAATTTGGGATATTATTTAAAATATGGACATTTTGGGAATTATTGAAATTTTAAAAATTTTGTGAATTGGATATTTTGGAATTATTTAAAATTTTATGTTTTTATTATTTGATTAAAAAACATAAATTTGATAATGTTGAAAATTTCAAAAATTTTGTGAATTCCGAAAATTTGGGATATTTTAAAAATTATAAACATTTTAAAAAATTTGAATATTTTTTTATATGGTTTAATTTAAAAACAACATAAATTTGATAATTTTGATATTTTTATCATTTTGGGAATTTTCTTTTTTTTTTAAATTTTGCAGATTTTAAAAATTTTCAAAATTTTAAGTCATATTTTTGATTATCCTAACAAATGTAATAATTTTGCAAATTTTAAATTTTTTGAAATTTTAAGAGCCTTTTTAAATTAAAGTCTAAATATTTTAATATTTTTAATATGGTTTGATTTAAAAACAACATAAATTTTATAATTTTGAAAATTTTGGATATTTTTAAAATGTTTGTATATTTTGTAAATTTTCAACATTTTAAGAGACCAATTTTATATTTGTATATATACAAATATAAAATTTTAATTAAACGATATATGGTTTAATTAAAAAACAACACACATTTGATAATTTGTGAATTTTGAAAATTTTTGATATTCTAAAATTTTTATTAAATTTCGATAATTTTGAAGTTTTGTGGAATAATCTACCTTACCGTTGGTTTAATTTTGAAAATGTTTATGCGTGGAAAAACGATGACAAATTTTGTATGTTTATTTGGTCAAATATTAGGCTGAACAAATCAGGGTGGAAATCACCCTGGAAAAAATCCAGAGTATTTACAAATAATATAATTATATTTGAAAGAATATTACTAAAAAACTTTTTCTCATTTACATTAAAATCTATTAATTTTTTGGAGAGTATTTGAAAATGCGTAGGTAAATAAAAAATTTAGAAATTAAAAAAAAATTTGGATTTTTTCAAAATTTTAAAAGCCCTTGTTATATTTTTTATAAGGTTGGATTTAAAAACATAAATTTTGGATTTTTAAAATTATGAAGATTTTGGAATTTTTTAAAATTTTGAAAATGTTGAAAAAAATCTTTAAAAAACAAATTTTAAAATTTTTGTAACTAATTTTGTGAATTTTAAAAATTTGGGATATTTTTTAAAATATGGATATTTTGGGAATTATTGAATTTTGGAAATATTTAAAACTTTATGTTTTTAAATAAAACGCTTTAAAAAAATTGTTAAAAAAAACAAAACAAAAATAATAATTAAAAAATATATTAAATAATAAAAAACAATGAACAAAAATAAGTACATAATATACAAATATACATAACTACAAATGTAAATGTATATTACTTCAAAATTAACGAGGTAGTAATAATCTTCGAAAAGTAAGAAATTGTATAATAATTGTTTATTAAAAAACTTGAAAACATAACCTTAATTACTATCAAAATTTAAAGCCGTTTAAAACTTAACACACGTTTAGTTAGTGCACATGATTATAATTTTTATAATAACTTTCACACATGCACTTTTTTACGCCTTTTTGTATAGAGAAGGTCTTGAAATATTAATTCACTTTTTACCACCTATTGCTCGCTATTGCGCAAAGTAAACTGATTCTTTTTCAAATGTCACCTTTCCAACGCAGGTAATAGATAGCGTAACTAGAAAGTGTTACTGACTTTAACTACGTACCTACTACCCAAAAACTTCTTGGTGCTTCTTAACTCTTAGCCTTTTAAATTTAATTTCAGAGTGAGCACAAACGCAAAGGCCTGTTCTGGCTGAAGTTCCGCAAGGCGTCGCACTCTGCGGAATCGAGCCAGAAGCGCGAGGTGGCCTCGTGGGGCACGCAGGAGGTGGCCACCTGGCTGGACACGTTGCAGCTGGCCGAGTACATCGACAGCTTCGTCAAGAACGACATCAGGGGCAGGGAGCTGCTCACCCTGGCGCGGAGAGATTTAAAAGACTTGGGAGTCACGAAAGTTGGACACGTCAAAAGGATACTGCAAGCCATCAAGGATCTGACGCAGGGATTGTAAATTTTACAGGAGTTTGGAGGCGGTTTTTTTTAGTTGTTAGTGTTCCCCTGATCTCTGTTCAAATGCTGCACCGCCGAGTCGTGTCAAGTTTTGGCCTCTATATTTACCTACTTATAATTTTTTTAAGAATTAAATAAATATACAATTTTAACAAAATTTGGCACGGCCAGGGTGTTTTAATTTTAAATTGTCCAGGTAAAATCGGTTTTGTTGAAATTGACATGAAATACAAAATAAAAAGAAAAAACGGCGTTGGGGTGTGATTAAAAACAGATATGAGTATGAGTATTAGGGTGTGCCAAAAAAACTCGAAATAGTTTTTTTCTTGCTCTCCACCTAAAATATCGTAGAATATGTCCGAACAAATATTCTGTTAAAAGCGGAGCTCATAATTTCAATTTTAAGAGGTCCCTCATCGAATCTGAAGTTTTGCCGCTTAAATACCACAGAAAACTGACCTTTTTACCTTATTTATTCTTGCAACCTAGGAAGAAATTTTTTTTTCATAAAATCCATGACCAAATCTTACAAAGCATTAAACTTGGACGAAAAAATCTTATTAAGCCGAATTTCTATTTTCATTATTTAATTTTTTACAGAGCTTTAAATTTAAAATTTTACCTTTTTTGCCTTTTTCAGCTAAACTATTGAAGTTAGACGAAAAAGTCAAATGGTAATTTTTTAGCTTGTCTGATGGACCACAAAAAAGTTTTAGGCGAATTTTTTATATCGTCAATATTCTAAAAGTTACAGGCGTATAAAGTCATCATTTTTGTATTATTATCTTTAAATTTAAAGCTAAGTAAAAAATTAAATAATGAAAATAGAAATTCGGCTTAATAAGATTTTTTTGTCCAAATTTAATGCTTTGTAAGAATTAGTCATGGATTTTACGAAAAAAAAAATCTTCCTAGGTTGCAAGAATAAATAAGGTAAAAAAGTCAGTTTTCTGTGTTATTTAAGCGGCAAAACTTCAGATTCGATGAGGGACCTCTTAAAATTGAAATTATGAGCTCCGCTTTTAACAGAATATTTGTTCGGACATATTCTACGATATTTTGGGTGGAGAGCAAGAAAAAAAAAATATCGAGTTTTTTTGGCACACCCTAATGAGTATATATGAGAGTCGTATAAATTTCTTCTTTTCCCCCCTATGGATTGATTAAAAAAACAAAATTTGATGTTGGTAATTTTTTAGTTTGAAAATTTTATAAATTTTGAAAAAAAATTGGATTTTGAAAATTTCGATAATATTGTAATTTTTAAATATGTTGGATATTTTGGTTTTTAAAATTTTTAGAGCCCTGTTTAATTTTTTTATTACTTGATTAAAAAATATTACATACATTTACATATTACATGTATCATGAATTTTTGATTTTTTTAAATTTTGAGAATTTTTAAAATTTTTGAAATTTTGAAAATATTTTATTAAAAAACAAATTTCATAATTTTAAACATCCTGTGAATTTTATAAAATTGTTTGGTTATTTTGGAAATTTTCAAAATTTTAAAACCTTTTTATGTTTTTATTACTTAAAAATTTAAAAAATTCTGTTAATTTTAAAAATTTCGGATATTTTAAAAATAATACACATTTTGGGGATTTTAGAAATTTTGTAAATTTGAAGTTTTGGAATTTTGATTATTTTGAAAATTTTAAATATTATTAATATGGTTTAACTTAAAAACAACATAAATTTGCTAATTTTGAAATTTTATAAAAATCTTGAAGATTTTGGATATTTTTAAAGTTAATAAATATTATGGGAATTTTGTAAATTTTGAAAATATTTTTTTTTAAATTTTGTATATTTAAAAAATTTTCAAAATTTGAAGTCATATTTTCATATGGTTTAATTAAATAACGTAGGTAGATAACATAAATTTAATAATTTTCGAAGATTTTGTTACTTTTGGATATTTTAAAAATTATAAACATTTTTGTTAATTTTGTGGGTTGTTATTTTAAAAGTTTGGTAAATTTTGAAAATTTTAGAAATTAAAAAAAAAATGGATTTTGGAACTTTTCAAAATTTTAAAAGCCCTTGTTATATTTTTTATGAGGTTGGATTTAAAAACATAAATTTTGGATTTTTTAAAATTATGAACATTTTTTAAATATCTTAAAAAATAAATTTTAACATTTTTGAAAATAATTTTGTGAATTTTAAAAATTTCGGATATTTTTTAAAATATGGAGATTTTGGGAATTATTGAAATTTAAAAAAATTTGTGAATTGGATATTTTGGAATAATTTAAAATTTTATGTTTTTATTATTTGATTAAAAAACATAAATTTGATAATGTTGAAAATTTCAAAAATTTTGTAAATTCCGAAAATTTGGGATATATTTTAAAAATTATAAACATTTTAAAAATGTTGTAATTTTTTTAAATTTTCGAAATTTGAAGAACCCTCTAAATATTTTAATATTTTTAATATGGTTTGATTTAAAAACAACATAAATTTTATAATTTTGAAAATGTTGGATATTTTTAAAATGTTTGTATATTTTGGAAATTTTCAACATTTTAAGAGACCCATTTTATATTTGTATATATACAAATATAAAATGGGTCTCCATTTTAATTAAACCATATATGGTTTAATTAAAAAACAACAGATTTTGTTATTTTAAAATTTTTATTAAATTTCGAAAATTTTGTAGATTTTTAATGTTTTGTAAATTTTTGAAATTTAAAAGATTACAACTTTCGAAAATTCTTTTAAACCATTGCATTTTAAACATACAAAATACCATTTTTGCCAAGACGATTTGAAATTGTGTAGCTATAAAATATAAATGTTTTAATCCTATAGGGTCATGTACGTAAAGTTAAGATGTACATTCTTACTGTGATTTCTATTTACTTACTAGAGTTTTAAACGTAGTTGGCCAACTTGAAATTTTAACAATCCAAATTTTATCATTATTTCTTTATATTTCAAAAATTAAACACAGTGTAAATGTAACCTAGTAGATAAGTTACCTATCGACTTATATTCTAAATTAAAAGCAATTCTCTATATTCTTAGCAATATTTATCTATTTTTCAACACATAAATTTTCCGTATGATATTAAGCAATTTAAATTATTTTATCTACTCCTACATTGACAAGCTGAGACTGTGACTGCGTTTTAGTCACGGGCTGAAGTTAGCAATAGTGGATTTTGGACATTTTAGTCATGGGCTGAAGTTAGCTGTGAGGTTAAATCCGTTGACATTTGACAGATGTCAAATGTTAAAAAAATTAAAATGACTTTAAATTCTTCTTTATGTTCGTCGTAGATAAAGTATAGTATGCAACTCGTTTTATAAACTCATCTAGAAACTCGTTTTTATTAAACTTGTAACTAAAATTGCATTTATAAAACTTGGTACATAATATACTATTAAACTTTCATACGACAATAATGGTATTAATATTTTTAATTTGTTTGACAGTTAATTAAATTTCAATTAGGAGGAAACATATGTGCACCCAAACAAAAATCATGAAATTAATATAATTAGGTACATTATTACTATCACATAAAAAAAGCATAGAGAATTTTGTTGATCCAATTGTAAGCTTTTTTGAATGTCAAATATTTCCTAGATATTAGTGTTATAGGCTAGAAATTGATAGATTAATACAAACTGTTAAACCTATAGGTTTAATATATCAAAAAAATAAGTGTAGCAACTATGATAATCATACGAAATGCCTTTTTCTATGTTATTTTCACATCTTACTTACGTTGATGTTAAAGCTAAAGAATGAAAACTATCATCATAGTGGGGGAACAATTTTTATGAATAATTTGCCCTTCAAGGACAAGGTAAAATCTTTTAAATTCTTTAGCTTAAAAATCATAATCACGCTTTTATGGATGACAACCATTTAATAAAATAAAAATTGTCAATAGATAGACTAAAGAAGTAATACAGAGTTACTGCCCTTAATGGTGGCCTCAATAAACAATAATACATTGGAAACACTTTAAATTATTAAAAAAATGACCTAAAATTTTACGAGGGTTTTTATAACAAGGGCAAGTATTTATTATGTACATAAAATAAGTATTTTCCAAATTATATCTATTTATGCCGTCAAATGGCTTGTTGAAATTAATAAAAAAATATTTTAGTAAGTAATTAAGTCATATTCTCAAATATGTGATCTTATGAAATGACCAGTGGCCAAATTAATACATTTTAAGGAAAATGTTCATACTGCTAGTTACATTTAATTAAAAGGGGAACTGGTCAAAATGTGAAAACTACTTTTAAAAACAATTTTAACATTCCTTTATTTTTTATTTTTCCCATTTACCCATTTCAATTTCATGTTTACTATAAGCTGTCACCCTAAATGTAAGGTTTTGTTAACTATGTGGACCAAAGCTTAATTTTTGTAAAACGCAACAATTTAAATATTCTATGATAAGTGAAATAAATCTGGTTTACCATTTTTCATTTTTGACGATTTTATATCACAGTATATATAGAAAAACTTTAAACAAACAGTAGTAAGATGCACAATACTATTTTTTATTTAAACCAGGTTTAAGTAATTCCTATAAAGGCTTCTCACCCGATTCGAGTATTTTTAATTTTCACAAATTTTCTTATGATTCACTTTATACTTCTGTGATACCCTTAACTATTATATAAATCTATGATTAATTACAAATTAAGCAATATTTTCAATTTCGTAAAACAATCATATTGTTATACATAGTGTTCATCAACGATGCAGACTTTATTGAATATCAGTCTTTTTACAGACGCTATTGCAGAGGATACAAAAATAAATAAATTTTGCATCAAAACCACTCAGTCACATAAGTGTTATTTGTAGCATGTTGATGTCTCGATATTTCTGAGATTATTATTATTATAGGACAATGTGGTTAAAACAAAAAAAACTGTAAGCAGGGCATATAGGTACTTAAATGTTTAACCTCAGATTCGTTTTAAAATAATTTTAATAATAACACATAATACATGTAGGTAACATTTTTATTATTCTCCTTAATATTTTACGCTTACGATCCTGTTTTGTTCAGCAAAAGGGTTAAGACTTAATTTATTTTGTGTTTTTTTTTATAAAACTTATAAGTTTGTGATTTTAAAAATGTATACTTATAAAATTGATATTAAATATATTTATCTCAGCTTTGCGTTTTATTTAAACAAATTTCCAATCTTTGTAGTGTGTTCTTTTTTCCCAGGATTTCGATCATTTCCGCTACACTTGGGCCCTCCTAAAATAAACAGCAATAAAAAAATAAATTTTGTGTAGGTACCTACAGATTTACCTTCAGGCCACTTAAAATGCTTCTCAACATTTTCATGAATTCTCCAAATTTAATACCATTTTCCATGGTAAATTCTTTCAAGAATTTGTTTAATTCATCTCTATCTAATTCATTTTCCTTCTCAAATTTGCTTCTAAACAAACCTATTGATTCAAGTTTACTTTTTTCCACATTCAATTTTTTTGGTATCACCCAAATAAATTCAAAATCCTTTGAGAATAAATCTGATAATTTATCTATTCTGTTTACAGACCAATTTAATATATTTTTTATATGTGCAGCATCCATTTGCAGCGTATTTTCAATTATTCTTTAAAAATCACAGGTAAAAATCAAAAAATCAGTTTGATTGCATCAAGTATTATACTACAGGGTGTTATGTAATTAATGTAATATATTAAAATGGGTAGTTCCTTAGTGTCCGTATATAAAGAAACACCTGAAACTTTTTTTTCTAAATTTTAAAGACAAAATAATTTATAATATCCTTTATCCTACCAAAAAGTACGCCACTGATCGACTAGGAACTTTAGGCTAATCTGGTTGCCTAATATTAATTAATATTTAATTTATTAAATTGGACGCCTTTCTGCAGAAAGGAACCAACCCACAAAACCAAAAAAATCGAGATATTTAGCCTATGAACTAATTAAGTAGGTATGTATAATTTATCTGCAAAATAGGTCATAGCCAAAATGCAAGTGTAGTGAAATCTATTAATCATTGGACCAACCAACATTCAATAATAGTGTGGATTACTAATCCAAAATTAGAATCTGTACAGTATCTGCAAGTGGGTTGGATCTTTTTTGTAAAAAAGCAGGCTGGTAGACCCACTACCAAAGTCTTTAAAGATTTCCTGCTTCTGCAAAATATAAAGTCTTGATGCATTTTTTTGGTAGCTTACAAGATGAGGTGGGGTTGGAAGATGATGTGAACGAATTTCAAATAGAATCAAAATTAATTCATATTACCATTATAATAGTAATATCAGTTGTATTTTGTTTGGAAATAAATAATTGTCGCTTTTCTTTAAATACATACATACATCAGATAGTAGTTTTCATAAATTGCAGAAAGGAACCAACCAACAAAAGCCCATTTTTTTCGTCACCCTTACACATAACATCACAAAATCCACCTGATGAAATTATTAAATTATATCCTTTAAACCTCCGTAAGTCCAAAATCGGCATAAAATTAACAGGTAATTTTAAAATTATTAAAATCTTTGATAGCTTTTTTCTCAGTTTCATCATGGTGTGGGTTGGTCCCATTCTGCAGAAAGCCGTCCAATTATGGTTGGTAACAACCAGCTTTCTAGATTCTGTCAAAACTTTGATGGTTGGTATCATAGAAAAAGGATATAGAAAGGACATAGAAAAAGGATATCCGCATTCAGGTTTCACCCCCCTGGTTGGTATATATGAGGAGCATCCGTGCAAAACCGGCTATATCCATTTTAATAAAATGTTGGGAAAATGGCAAAAACTCCCCGTTTTCTCGCCTTGTCAGATAAAAAAAATACATCTTGAGTTTTGTGCCCACAAAGCTTAATTAAGGTGCATCTTTTTTATCTGCAAAGGCCAGTAAACGGGGAGTTTTTGCCATTTTCACAACATTTTATTAAAATGGATATAGCCGGTTTTGCACGGATGCTCCTTATATGTAGTTACAGAATACAAGTGTGTAACCAGTGGCGTATCACAAAAAAATATAAAAAACATCTAATGCATATTTTTCTTTATCTTTGGGAACATATTTTTTTAAATATTTTTCCGTTACACCTTATGTCAAAAGGTATTAATTATTTTAATATATTACATTAGGTAATTTCATAACCTGTATTTGAGAACCTCTGTTTTTTTCAATTTATAAATTAATAAAAAAATAAAATAGAATACACATAGAAAAATACTTGTGCATATTACCTTTCAGAATATTTAGTTTTGAGCATATGTTGAAGTTGTATGATTAGTTGGATTTCCTCAACTTTATTCTCAAGTCTTCTTTTTAACTCCAACCTATTAAATTCCAACAGCCTTTCAGGCATAAGTCTACCAGAATGATTTTTTAATTTAGTAATATCAAACTAAAAAATAGAATTGTAAAAAATATTAAAAAATTAAATGTTTAACAGGTAGGCACCTACCTGACTGGCTAGTTCTTCTATTGTATGGCACTTTGGCCTGACATTTTTTTCTAAATCTTTAGAAAAACCACCTCCTGACTGAACTATAAAATTTACCAAAGCCAAAGGAAAAATGTTTTCTTCCTTATAAGAACTTATTTTTATATCGCCCTGTCTTTTACTTAATTTCGTACCATCTGCATTTAAAAGAAGCGGCAAATGGCCAAAAATGGGCGGAGTCCAACTAAACGCCCTGAAAGTTTAAATTTCAAATACGCTGAGCAACAAAAATTTGATATAATATTTTTAAAATAAAAAAATCCAAATTGATATAATGTATATTTGCCATAGCAATATTTTGCCTGTATATTACCGATACAGTAAGATGTGTTTCATTGTGGAAATTTGCCATTCTACTCCTCTAAAAACATGACTGATTTCCATAAAATGGTCGTCCACTACATTGGCGAAATGGTATGTTGGAAATCCATCTGTTTTCATTATAACCGGGTCGCCCTCATTTAAATACACATTGTAGGTAATTTGACCGTATATTAAATCGGTAAATGTGTCCTCATCGGAGCTTAACTAAAAAAAATTATTACCTAATTATTTTATAAAAACAATTATTGTTAAGTATCGTACTTTAAATCTTATACAAGAAGGCTCTCCCTTGTCTAGCTTCATTTTTATTTCTTCTTTTGTTAAATTTCGACATCTATTGTCGTATTTGGGCACTTCTTGAGCCCGTATAGCCTCTTTTCTAAGTAATTGTAAACGTTTATCACTGCAAAAGCAGCGATAAGCTGAACCATTTTCTAATAGTATTTCAACTTGGTCTCTAAAATTAAGTACTAAAGTCAAAATAAATTTTGAAGTTGTTGCTTATTTTAGATTTAAAAATCATTTAAAATTTTCTGACACACATTTGTGTTTTCTGGGTTGCCGCCTTACAGGCTGATTGATGGACACATTGTGGCAAAATTGTGTTGTGCTCTTAAGTCACGGGCTAAAGTTAGCAACAGGTTTTTAGTCACGGCTGAAGTTAGCTATTATATGTCATACAATCGTTAAAATAAATCGCCTTTCTTGTAAAATAATACTAAATGTAAAAATCTTGTCATTATCTCAATACAAAAATACAAAACTATTAAATAGTTTCTTGACGCCAATATTTAAAAAGATTATATAAACGTTTGTTTTCGCCGTAGTAGTGCAGTTAACTGAATTTAACTGATAAAGCATTAAAAATTTTGCTTACAGTGCCCATAAAACATTCTCTTCTCTTTTACTGTGAAAAACTGCTTCTATATCGATTGTTAGTCTATTTTCAAGAGATAAATTTTGATTTACACAGAAAAATTTGAGATTTTAATGCCGGTAGATTCTCAAGTTAGAAATTCGAACGAGAATTCCAATAAATACAACTGTCACTTTTTGTACCTTTAACATATCCCGTGTTAGAATTTTTAATACTTTGTGATAATATTTTGCAATTATAATAATAAAAAAGGGTAAAATATTTTATTCTTTTTTATTACTATAACTCTTAACATAATCATATTTTGAAGTTATTTTAATATTTTAAAGTATCAATAATTGTTAAACTTAATTAAGTTTAATTAAAATAATAATAGGCAATATTGCCATATGTTAATGGTGAATAGGCAATATTGCCATATGTTAATGGTGAAAATTACGTCAAAAATGTTACTTTATTTTCGTATAGATGTCGCTCTATACAAATATTTAATTTAAATCATTTTTTAGAAAATATTAAGTACTATATATAGTCGTGAAAAAGTATAGTTTACAAACTTTTTTAATAAAATTAAATTCGTGACTAAAATTGCGTTTATCAAACTTGATACATAATATACTATTACAATCTTAGTATTTTCTTATCATGCACAAACCTTATTTAATAGCTATTTACGCGAAGCTAATCCCGAACTAATTCCGGACATCCTAGGCATGCGCTTTTTAAAATTTGGCGTTGAAATTGTAAAGTGCGCATGAAAAATATTAAAATGCGCATGCCTAGGATGTCCGAACTAGTTCGGGATTAGCACCGCGAAAACACCTAATATCACATCACCTGGGTGTCAAACAAAATTCTTAACCCCTGCATAACTAAAGTTATGCAGGGGTTATAAGGTATAAGTATATATTATTATAATAATATATTAATATGTTAATTTATTAATTAATAAAATATTAATTTTATTATTAGTCCAGGAAACAAAGGTTGTAGAAGGAAAACTCGATGGAGGTGGTTTTATTTTTTTTTATGTAGTTGAGCGTTGCTTTCAAAATCACTTTTTGTTTTTTTTTATTATAAAAGTAATCGATCCCAAACCTTACGGTAATCAAACATAACCGAATGGACGATTTTTAAGGAATCGAAAAATAAATTCAAATATAGGGTGATCCATTGAAAAAAATAAACTTTTTGGTTTTCCCTGTATACTGATCAATTTTCCAATTTTCTTTATACGTAGAAAAAAAGTATTTTTTAGTTCCTACATAACCACACTTTTAAATTTTTTGGGACACTTAAAATAAAAAAGTTAAAGGGGGGCGACATTATAGGGGATCACCCTGTACCTAAAATCTAGGGTAGAACGAACTGGCTCATTAAAGCCGTTTGGGAGAGAAATTTTTGGGGAATATTCTTGATTCATTATCAGCACCCCTGACTACATAAAAAAAATAAAACCAGACTACCATCGAATTTTCCTTCTACAATCTTTGTTTCCTGGACTATATTAATTATGACTAGAGACAATCAATTATTTGGATTTTCATTACCTATATAGTTCTAAACGTTGCGACTGCACATATGGGCCATATTTGCCCCTTTTAGTGGGGCCCTCATCAACCTGAACCCCACACCAATGCAAATCATTTTGCAACTGTTCAGTGGCTCCCTCTACTAGCCTTGTTTGGTCGGTATCTTCAATGCGCAAAATAAATTTACCCTTTTGGCTTCTGGCAAATAAGAAATTGTACAGAGCTGTCCTGAGCCCCCCCAGATGCAAATACCCTGAGAATTATTATTTATTGTTTTGGTTTTAAGGGGATTAAATTTTAATTTACCTGTAGGACTAGGAGCGAATCTAACTCTAACGCTATTTGTTTTGTAAAATCTTAAAATTGTAAATTGTTGTTTTTTTAGTAATTTATAAGAAAATAAAAACATGTTATTTAAAATTATTAAAATAGATAAATGTGTTTTAGTGTAATTATTCAGTAATTATGCATTCTTCCCTGTACTTTTAATTAGGGAATCTGCACTTTCTCCACTCCGGTGGTAAATTGTCCGAATTTCTTCAGATTTACGTGTGTGGTAGACTTGTTTATGCACTCTTTAAAGGTTAACTCTAAAAATCCTGCAAAAATAAAAGAATTCTGGTTCCAATGGTTGTCCTTTGTTAATAAACTGTTAAAGAAAAACTTACTCTTTACGATGGTATGTAAAATTCATATGCACTTTACTTTAAAATCCTTAAATCACGATTTTTCCCTTGCCAAGACACTACCTGTCAAAATTGATCTTCATTTATTTTGGACAACATAACCAAACTTTTCTTTAAAATGATATTTATTTTGACTTTTCGTCCTTTTTCAGCATAAACTCAAATCGTCGCAAAGAGAGAAAGTTAAAAAATTTATATCCTTTACTCAGACTGGTGAGAACACAGCAATCTATTGCCTGACTCAGAACGATTGGAAGTTGGACTTGGCCAGTGACAATTACTTTCAAAACCCTGATGCCTATTACAAGGAACCTCGGAGTGTAGACAAAAAGAAACTGGAATCTTTGTACAGCAAATATAAAGATCCCAATGAACCAGATAAAATTACCGTAGATGGAATCATGAAGTTTTTAGATGACTTGGGTTTGCCTCCCGAATCTAAGCTTGTACTTATAGTTGCGTGGAAGTTTAAGGCCGCCACGCAGTGCGAATTCACCAGGGATGAATTCATTAATGGCATGACAGAATTAGGTTGTGATAATATTGATAAATTAAAGGCTAGATTGCCGACGTTAGAAAACGAGTTACGAGACAGTTATAAATTTAAAGACTTTTATCATTTTACGTTTAACTACGCCAAAAACCCGGGGCAAAAAGGCCTAGACCTTGACATGGCAATTGCTTATTGGAATATTGTACTAAAAGGAAAATTCAAGTTCCTTGACCTGTGGTGCACGTTTTTACAGGAAAATCACAAAAGGTCCATTCCCAAGGACACATGGAATCTGTTGCTAGACTTTGCTCAACAAATTGCTGATGATATGAGCAATTACGATGAAGAAGGTGCTTGGCCAGTGCTGATCGATGATTTTGTAGAATGGGCCACAACAAAGGCAAAAGAAAACCAAGTACACAGTACTAGCAATCTTGATTAACTTTATTTATTCAAAGAATCAAGTGACATTAAAAAATCATTATTTCATGTAAACTTGCTGGCAACTTAGTTTATTACATTACAATAGTTTTAATTGAATTTGATGTCATTTGGTGTTAAATTTCTTTATATTTATTATAGATAATTAAACATGTATATAGCGATTTCAGAAATTAAAATTATACTTAACAAAAAAACTATTACAAATTCTTGTATATTTGCAATTATATGTTATACCTATTTCTAAAACTAAGGAATAAATTTATAAATAATGCACTCAAAACCTTATTAGTACCAAATCAACACTCCTAAGGTCGAGACGTAATAGTTTCTCCGCTCTGAACTATAAACAATTATACAGTGCATTTAAAACCTAATCTAAAAGTTTAAAAGCGCGAAGTGAACCTGTCGAAGTCACGGAACCACCCACCTAAAAGTTCATCGCGGCATGAACCTGGAAGAAACCAATTACAAGGGGACAAGGAGCCATATTCACCGAGCCTATGGTTGTGTTTATACCTTCCCAAGAGAGAAATCCACAAGAAAGAATAAAAGAGTTGAACAGGGTTAACGAACCCCTACATTAAATAGACCAAAGATACTGAATGCACAGGCAGTATATACAGAACGTGACAAGTAGTACTTAATAAACACATAAATCTTATGTAAGTAATCAAACCATTTTCTAATTTTTGCCTTAAATAAACAAACTGGGAGACCTTCTCGAGTATAAAAAATAAATAAATAGTAGAAGCAGTAAAAATAAATACAAATGCAATTTCTTAATTGTTAAATAAGAAAAGAAAACGTAAACACAATTTCTACCACAACAAGAAAACAACGAATAGTCGTTTTCAATAAATAGTTCCTACTACTTACTTAATAGTTAAATTAATTAATTATAGGTATTGCTTGGGTGAGTAAAAAAACAAAACTTTAAACCAAACCAAAAATTTGTGTAACCATTAGCGACTGCCTTTCCGCTGCAGCGAGCTGGGACAAAAAGCTACCCGGACAACAATCGGGATTTCCTGGTGAAGTCATGATGATATCACAACGTGATTTTTTTAATCACGCTGTGATATCCTGAGTGCATACACATGCTTCATCACAGTGATATCATGTAAAACTCACGGTGTGATATTTGCAAAATTTGCATTCGAACATCATGTCGTTATTTTCACAAATTTTATTCATACTGATATTATACGGATGTCACTGCGTAAGAAATGAAAATCATGTCGTGATTTTTTATGCCATCACTGTTTGCGATTGACCGATGGCCTAAAAAATCACAACATGATTTTTTATGCTATCGGTGTTTGGGCATTAAAAATCACGACATGATTGTTTATGCCATCGGTGCACCGACATGTTTGGATATTTATTTTTGCGCCACATTCGTACATTGAAAGAAAAAGTATGTTAACAATTGAATTACCAGTTTTTGCGGTCAAATACATTTAATATTTTTTTGGATTAAATTAACGAATAATTTTTATCCAAAAAAATATTGAATGAATTTAACCACAAAAACAGTTGATTCAATATATATGTAGGTATACTTTTTCTTTCAATGTACGAATGTGGCGCAAAAATAAATAACCAAACACCGATGGCATAAAAAATCACATGATTTTTTATGCCATCGGTGTTTGGATATTCATTTTTGCGACACATTCGTACATTGAAAGAAAAAGTATGTTAACAATTGAATCAACAGTTTAACATTCAATATTTTCTTGGATTTAAATTAACTATACACAGTGTTGCCACTCGTTCATTTTATTTCGTACTAGGTGGCTTCGTAATTTCGTACTAGATTGTACTAAATGCTATATGGGTGAAATTGGCCACAGATAGCAGCACCAATAATTTATATATTTGGTTTTGTGTTACGAATATTTGGATGACTGCACTTTTAATTGAATAAATAACACATATATTTAAGTATTCTAAAAAAATAAACTATAAGAGAGACAACCAATAGTAAATTATTATACGAGAGATAATGCAGGCTATTATTCAAGATGGTGAGGTTTACGTCTCGAGTCGCCAGACGAGAGACCTAAATTATCCGAGTGAATATTGCGCATAATCTCGAGTGTAATACTATAGTATATATACTTTAACTACTCCAATAAGTAGATAATTAAATGATTTTCAAAATTAAATAAATAAACATCTGTCAAATGGTTAACCTCACTATTTACCAATTTTAAATGTTATTATAGTCGCCTTTTCCCAATTTAAAACCCGATCAAATCACAGTGAATATTGAAATCGGCCTATCACTGATGCCTAACAACGTGAATAATGAGTTTATTATTCACGTTGTTAGGCAGGAATTTTATAATGAACATTTAACATTATTTATGGAAAAATCCCAAAATTACGCAATGGGAGCCCAGTGAACCAAACCGTGACTTATGACCTAAAATTTACGTAACACGTAGATCATATCTAGGTAATTCAATTTTTACGTCATAGTGACATAATACTGACCCAAAACGTGACTTTTATATGATGTAATTAAATGACTTACATATTACGTACATCTTATGTAATATTAAAGTCATATCGTGACGTAATATTAAAGTCACTTTTCTTACGTAAGACAGACATAAGAAATCTGTCATAATATTACATAACTTTTAGGTCACTGTCTTACGTAAGACTGACGTAATAAATCTGTCATAATATTACCTAAGTTTAAGGTCACTTTCTTACGTAAGGCTGACGTAAGAAATACGTCATACTATTACATACGTTTTAGGTCACTTTCTTACGTAAGACTGACGTAAGAAATCTGTCATACCATTACATAAGTTTAAGGTCACTTTGTAAGGTAAGACTGACATAAGAAATCTGTCATACATATTATTTAGACGAACTAGATGCAAAAGTAATTTCAAAGTATGAAATTCACTGTATTTTAATGTTTGAATTAAACTAATTTCAATGAATGGACTTGAAATTGATTGAAATGGTTAATTCCAATCATTGAGTAAAATAACGTAAGTAAATTCTATTAATTGAAATTCACGCCGATTATTTTAAACAATAAAATCAGTGGATACTTTTCCTTACCAATCAGTTTAATTCAAACATTAAAATACAGCAAATTTCATATTTTAAAATTACTTTTGCATCTAGCATGATGAAAGAAATAACGCGAAATTCCTTGAATTTTTTGGCTACTTAGTACTTGGTCGATTAAATGAAAATATGGTTTAAAATCAATCAAAAAATAATGTATCTTAATTTAATATGTAATAAACATCATATAGATTTTTATGATTGCGGTTCCTACTGCTTTAAAGCATAATTATGACGTAAAAAATTTTGAAAATAGCGTCGTACTTTCAAAAGTACACATTTTATTCAATGGTCATGTGAAAAATCATGTAGGTACCTACTCATAATCATGGTTGCAAGTACTTGCAAGTACCTACTTATTTTTTAAATTGTAAAAAATTATCAACAAAAGATTTACGTGTTATTACGTGTTAACGTGTTATTTTTGTATCGATGTTACTGTTATTATTTTTTGAAAATTTTTGAAAATGGCGCTTTTGGTGAAAGTGGAATTTTTTTGTTCCACCCTGTACAATCGAAAAAATAAGTAGTTACGCTTTAAAAGACCTGAAATGATATTTCACTTACTTCAAATATTTTTAAATGTTACCTTGGCAGTACGACGTCATTTGTTTTTTTTAATCCATGCATGTCAAAAAATGTTACCTATTAAAATACTAAAATTTTAAATTTTTAAAATAAAAATAATTTTTAAATGTTGAATATTGTCCCTAGCTATAGCTATAGCTACTCATAAAAAGCGATTTTTGTTTGTTCTTACTTCTGACATACCCTGTAAAGAATCTGAAAAATTAGTAGTTGGTTCAAAATCCATTGTGAGTTGGTTTTGATCAGCTTCATAAATTAGATAAAGTATCAGCTTGCAATAAATACCTTTTCGGTAATGATTCCATTTCCCATTGAAAAAAATGTGACCTTTTGACAGTACGACGCCATTTTAGAAATTTATCAAAATTGGTTTAAGTCAAAAAGTAGTACCCAGAGTACCCTTGTCTCTGGTAGTACCTATATATTTAATGCCTTGTTTAACATACTAAAATTTCAATTTCCAAATACAGAGGTTCAAAAAATAAAACTAAAAAAAATAATACAACCAAATTTAAAGAATTTAATTTTATAATATAATATGGTATAATTATATATAAATATAATACCTATAATAATAGATAGGTATTTGCACAATATTGTGGGTATTAGTATATTTTTTAAATTTAAAAAATGATAAATAAAAGAAATGAAATTGAAAAACGAAATTATTTAAGTACACTGAGAATATTTAGTATTATGAAACCAAGAGTTTTTTAATAATATATGTAAACTATTAAAGAATTCTTCATTGATAAACAAATTTTATAATAATATTATAATATGGTCCGGTTATTGTGTTTCAGACAAATAAGGGTAAAGTTGTCAAATAACATTCCCAGCTAGCACAAGTCTGTCCTAAGGACGTTCTAAGGAAAGCCTTACAGGATATTGGGATATCCCAAGGATATCCTAGGACGTCCTCAGACCTCCTCAGGACATCCCAACCATGGCCGAGTGGTGCAAAAAAGGCCAGCCTACAGACGTCCCGCAAATGGCCTTTAGGATATCCTAGGGATATCCCTAGGTCCATATAGGTCCAGGAATAGGACATCCTAAGGATGTCCCCTGAAAGTCCCATGGGTATATGTAGGTCCAGGAATGGGATGTCCTGAGGACATCCTCTGAATGGCCTTGTTATTTGTTGGGGATACATTTTAAACAATCAAATACCATTTAATTACTTTATAAAATATATTATTTTAATTATGTATACATACCTATATATAATTTTACACAGCCAATTATATAAAATAAAAAATAAACACCTATTATAAAAGTAAAATAAATAATAATTCTAAATAAATATAATAGTTATATTATTTATATATACAGTGTCCAAAGTTATCTGCTCACCATTTTAACTCCATTATTATTGCAGCTACAAAGTCGGTTAAGAACACTATAATAATATTATATTATAACAAACACACTTGGAGAACACGAGATTCACGGCCTTAAACCAGGTTCACGACACA